CCCCCATAGACCCCACTAATGGGGTTCCCCCCCCATAGACCCCAATAATGGGGTTTCCCCCCCAATGGAACCCCCCCATAGACCCCACTAACGGGGCTCCCCACCCCATAGACCCCACTAATGGGGCTCCCCACCCCATAGACCCCACTAATGGGGTTCCCCCCATCCCCCATAGACCCCCTAATGGGGTTCCCCCCCAATGGACCCCACCAATGGGGTTTCCCCTAAATGGACCCCCCCATAGACCCCACTAATGGGGGTCCCCCCCCATAGACCCCAATAATGGGGTTTCCCCCCCAAAGGAACCCCTCCATAGACCCCACTAATGGGGCTCCCCCCCCCCCATAGACCCCACTAATGGGGCTCCCCCCCACCCCCCCATAGACCCCCTAATGGGGTTCCCCCCCCCCATTAATGGGGCATAGACCCCACTAATGGGGTTTCCCACCCATTGACCCCCCCATAGACCCCACTAACGGGGCTCCCCCCCCCCCCATAGACCCCACTAATGGGGTTCCCCCCCCACAGACCCCACTAATGGGGCTCCCCCCACCCCATAGACCCCACTAATGGGGTTTCCCCCCAATGGACCCCCCCATAGACCCCCTAATGGGGTTCATAGACCCCACTAATGGGGTTCCCTGCCCATAGACCCCACTAATGGGGCTCCCCACCCCATAGACCCCACTAATGGGGTTCCCCCCCCATAGACCCCACTAACGGGGCTCCCCACCCCATAGACCCCACTAATGGGGTTCCCCCCCAATGGACCCCCCCATAGACCCCACTAATGGGGCTCCCCCCTCATAGACCCCATTAATGGGGCTCCCCCCCCCACAGACCCCACTAATGGGGTTTCCCCCCCAATGGACCCCCCCATAGACCCCACTAATGGGGTTCCCCCCCATAGACCCCACTAACGGGGCTCCCCCCACCCCATAGACCCCACTAATGGGGTTCCCCCCCCATAGACCCCACTAATGGGGTTCCCCCCTCCATCCCTTCACCCCATAGACCCCAATAATGGGGTTCCCCCCCATAGACCCCACTAATGGGGTTCCCCCCCCCACAGACCCCACTAATGGGGTTTCCCCCCAATGGACCCCCCCATAGACCCCACTAATGGGGTTCCCCCCCCATAGACCCCACTAACGGGGCTCCCCACCCCATAGACCCCACTAATGGGGCTCCCCCCCCCATAGACCCCATTAATGGGGCTCCCCCCCCACAGACCCCACTAATGGGGTTTCCCCCCCCAATGGACCCCCCCATAGACCCCACTAATGGGGTTCCCCCCCCATAGACCCCACTAACGGGGCTCCCCACCCCATAGACCCCACTAATGGGGTTCCCCCCCCATAGACCCCACTAATGGGGTTCCCCCCTCCATCCCTTCACCCCATAGACCCCACTAATGGGGTTCCCCCCCCATAGACCCCACTAACGGGGTTCTCCCCATAGCCCCACCTGTCCCGGTGCTGGTTGCGGGGCCGCAGCTCCTGCAGCAGGGTTTCGGGGTTCACCTTCAGGGTCTTGGCCGTGACCCCCCCAAAATCCTCGGCCTGGAGCTGCTCCAAAGCGTGGCCACAGGGACCTGGGGGGGGGGGGGGGGAACACCCCAAAATTGGGGGACCCCAAAAAAACCCCCCCCCCATAAGGGCCAATGGAGCCCAAAGGGGATCTAACCCCCCCCTTCTAGGACACATGGTACAGCCCAAACCCTGCCATAGGGCTCAATGGGACCCCTAAGCCCCCCCCTCAAGTCCCCCCCATAGGGCCCCTCCGTGGGGCTCACTGCGACCCCTAAGTTCCCCCCATAGGAGCCCTCCATAGGGACCCCCAATAATGGAGCCATGGGGTCAAGGGGGATCTAAACCCCCCTATAGAGCACATGGTACAGCCCAAACCCCCCCATAGGGCTCAATGGACACCCCCAACCCCCTATAGGGCACCCCAACCGCCCCATAGGGCACAATGGGCCCCCCCAACCCCCCCATAGGACACAATGGACCCCCCATAGGACACAATGGGACCCCCCAACCGCCCCATAGGACACAATGGACCCCCCATAGGACACAATGGGACCCCCCAACCGCCCCATAGGGCACAATGGACCCCCCAACCCCCCCATAGGACACAATGGACCCCCCCAACCCCCCCATAGGACACAATGGACCCCCCATAGGACACAATGGACCCCCCAACCCCCCCATAGGACACAATGGACCCCCCATAGGACACACCCCCCCAAGCCCCCCATAGGACACAATGGACCCCCCCATAGGACACAATGGACCCCCCAACCGCCCCATAGGACACAATGGACCCCCCCCAACCCCCCCATAGGGCACAATGGACCCCCCCAACCCCCCCATAGGGCACAATGGACCCCCCCAACCCCCCCATAGGACACAATGGGACCCCCCAACCCCCCCATAGGGCACAATGGGCCCCCCGGGCCGTACCATCGGGCACGAAGAGGCGGGTGAGCAGCAGCTCCTCGGGGAGGGGGGCATCGGGGGGCAGGGGGGGCTCCCCCCCCCCCTCGGGGGGCTTCTCGGTGAGCACCAAGGTGGTGAAAACACGGCCTGAGGGGCTCTGGGTGACCTGGGGGGCAATGGGGGGCAATGGGGTAATGGGGGGCAATGGGGGAATGGGGGGCAATGGGGGCAATGGGGGGCAATGGGGGGCAATGGGGTAATGGGGGGCAATGGGGGCAATGGGGGGGAATGGGGGGCAATGGGGGGCAATGGGGGGGCAATGGGGGGAATGGGGGGCAATGGGGGAATGGGGGGCAATGGGGGGCAATGGGGGGCAATGGGGGGCAATGGGGTAATGGGGGGAATGGGGGCAATGGGGGAATGGGGGGCAATGGGGGGAATGGGGGGCAATGGGGGGAATGGGGGAATGGGGGGAATGGGGGGAATGGGGGGCAATGGGGGCAATGGGGTAATGGGGGACAATGGGGGGAATGGGGGAATGGGTCAATGGGGTAATGGGCAGCAATGGGGGGAATGGGGGGGAATGGGGGGCAATGGGGTAATGGGGCAATGGGGGTAAGGGGGGTAAGGGGGGAATGGAGTTAATGGGGCAATGGGGGGAATGGGGGGAATGGGGGGCAATGGGGGGGCAATGGGGGGAATGGGGGGCAATGGGGGCAATGGGGGGCAATGGGGGGATGGGGTAATGGGGGGAATGGGGGAATGGGGGGAATGGGGGTCAATGGGGGAATGGGGGGAATCAGGGGAATGGGGGTATTTTAAGGAGAGTTTGGGGTATTATGGGTGATTTTGGGTGATTTTGGAGTGTTGGGGGGCGGTTTTGGGGTGGTTTTGGGGAGGTTTTGTGTGTTTTGGGTGATTTTGGGGTTGTCGTGGGTGATTTGGGGTAATTTTGGGGGTGGTTTCGGATGCTTTAGGTGATTTTGAGTTGGTTTGGGGTGGTTTGGGAGTGTTTCGGGGTGTTTTGGATGATTTAGGGGTGGTTTTGAGCAATTTCGGGGTGTTTTGGGTGTTTTTTGTTTTTCGGGGTGTTTTGGGTGATTTGGGGGCGGTTTTCAGTGATCTGGGGGTGTTTCTGCGTGTTTGGGGTGTTTTGGGGGTGTTTTGGGTGATTTTGGGGTGTTTTGGGTGATTTTCGGGTGTTATGGGTGATTTTCGGGTGTTTTCGGGGTGTTTTCGGCTGATTTTGGGGTGTTTTTCGGGTGTTTTGGGTGATTTTGGTGTGTTTTGAGTGACTTTGGGGTGTTTTTGGGGTGTTTTGAGTGATTTTTGGGTGTTTCAGGGTGATTTTGGGGTGGTTTTGGGGTGTTTTGGGATATTTGGGGGTGTTTTGGTGATTTTGGGCTGTTTTGGGGGTGTTTTGGGTGATTTTGGGGTGTTTGGGGTGATTTTGGGCTGTTTTGGGGGTGTTTTGGGTGATTTTGGGGTGTTTTTGATGTGATTTGGGTGATTTTGGGCTGTTTTGGGGCTGTTTTGGGTGATTTGGGGTTATTTTGGGGTGTTTTGGGTGATTTTGGGGTGTTTCAGGGTGATTTTGGGGTGTTTTTTTGGTGTTTTGGGTGATTTGGGGGTGTTTTGGGTGATTTTGGGGTGTTTTGGGTTATTTTGGGGTGTTTCAGGGTGATTTTGAGGTGTTTTTGGGGTGTTTTGGGTGATTTTGGGCTGTTTTTGGGGTGTTTCGGGGCCCGGTACCTGCAGGATGAGCCCCATCGCGTTGCGGTGCCTCCGGGTGCTCACCACCAGCACCCGCCCGGGGCTCAGCACCCGCAGCCCGGCCACGGAGTCCGCCAAGCGCCGCTGCGGGGACCCCTCTCCGGTCACACCAGAGCCCCATAGAGACCCATAGAGACCCCATAGAGCCCCATAGAGACCCATAGAGCCCCATAGAGACCCCATAGAGCCCCATAGAACCCACAGAGACCCCATAGAGCCCCATAGAGACCCCATAGAGCCCCATAGAGCCCCACAGAGCCCCATAGAACCCATAGAGCCCCATAGAGACCCCATAGAGCCCCACAGAGCCCCATAGAGCCCCATAGAGCCCCACAGAGCCCCCATAGAGCCCCACAGAGCCCCCATAGAGCCCCATAGAGCCCCATAGGCCCCATAGAACCCCATAGACCCCATAGAGCCCCCACAGAGCCCCATAGCGCCCCATAGAGCCCCATAGAGCCCCATAGAGCCCCATAGAGCCCCATAGAGACCCCATAGAGCCCCATAGAGCCCCATAGAGCCCCCATAGAGCCCCCACAGAGCCCCATAGAGACGTCACAGAGCCCCACAGAGCCCCATAAAGACCCCATAGAGCCCCAGAGCCCCACAGGGCCCCATAGAGGCCTCCCCGACCCCTCTCGCCCGCCCCACTTCCGGTCCCGCCCCCCACTTCCGGTCCCGCCCCACTTCCGGTCCCGCCCCCCACTTCCGGTCCCGCCCTCACCATGAGCTCCTTCCGGTCCCTCCGCAACGCCCCCACGGCGTCGTGGTAGCGCCCGACGTCACTTCCGGGGCGGGGCTCCGGCTGCGCAGAGAGCGCCCCCTGCAGCTCGGTCACGCGGCGAGCCTGAGCCTGAGGTCACGTGGGGTCACTTGGGGGGGGCAATGGGGGGCAATGGGGTTCAATGGGGGGCAATGGGGGGCAATGGGGTTCAATGGGGCTCAATGGGGTTCAATGGGTCTCAATGGGGTTCAATGGGGCTCAATGTGGTCTATAGGGCTCAATGGGTGTCAATGGGGTTCAATGGGGCTCAATGTGGTCTATAGGGCTCAATGGGTGTCAATGGGTGTCAATGGGGTCAATGGGGCTCTATGGGTCTCTATGGGTCTCAATGGGGTTCAACGGTGTCAATAGCGTTGAATGGGGCTCAAGGGGGTGTAATGGGGGGGCTCAACGGGTCTCAATGGGGTTCAATGGGGCTCAATGTGGTCTATAGGGCTCAATGGGTGTCAATGGGTCTCAATGGGTGTCAATGGGGCTCTATGGGTCTCTATGGGTCTCAATGGGGTTCAACGGTGTCAATAGCGTTCAATGGGGCTCAATAGGGCTTAATGGGTATCAATGGGGCTCAGTGGGGTTCAATGGGGCTCAGTGGTTCTCAATGGGTTCAGTGGGTCTCAATGGGTCTTAATGGGGTTCAGTGGTGTCAATGGGGTTCAATGGGGCTCAATGGGGCTCAATGGGGTCAATAGGGCTCAATGGGGCTCAGTGTGGCTCAATGGCATCAATGGGTCTCAATGGGTCTCAATGGCATCAATGGGTCTCAAGGATGTCAACGGGTGTCAATGGTGTCAATGGGTCTCAATGGGGCTCAATGGGGCTCAATGGGTGTCAATGGGTGTCCATGGGTCTCAATGGGGTCTATCGGTCTTCATGGGTCTCAATGGGTCTCAATGGGGTTCAGTGGGTCTCAATCGGTCTCAATGGTGTCAATGGGTCTCAATGGTGTCAATGGGTCTCAATGGGGTTCAATGGTCTCAATGGGTCTTAATGGGGTTCAGTGGGTCTCAATGGGTCTCAATGAGGTTCAATGGTGTCAATGGGTCTCAATAGTGGGTCTCAATGGGTCTCAATGGTGTCAATGGGTCTCTATGGCTCTCTATGGGTCTCTATGGGTCTCAATGGTGTCAATGGGTCTCTATGGCTCTCTATGGGTCTCTATGGGTCTCAATGGTGTCAATGGGTCTCTATGGCTCTCTATGGGTCTCAATGGGTCTCTATGGGTCTCTATGGGTCTCTATGGGTCTCCGTGGGGCCCACCCACCTCCTGCTCGCGGCGCAGCGGGAACTCGGCGTAGCTCCGGCGCAGCAGGTCCTGAACGCGCAGCTCCTGCGCCCGCAGCACGTTCAGGATCATGGGGTAGGTGAGGCGGAACTGGGACTGCAGGCGTGTGGGGCGGCCCTGCCGGGCGGGGAACACGCTAAGCACACGCTAAGAACACGCTAAGGACATGCTAAGGACATGTCATGGGGTAGGTGAGGCGGAACTGGGACTGCAGGCGTGTGGGGCGGCCCTGCCGGGCGGGGAACACACTAAGCACACGCTAAGAACATGCTAAGGACACGCTGACACGCTAAGCACACACTAAGGACACGCTAAGGACACGCTAAGGACACGCCGACACGCTAAGGACATGTCATGGGGTAGGTGAGGCGGAACTGGGACTGCAGGCGTGTGGGGCGGCCCTGCCGGGCGGGGAACACGCTAAGCACACGCTAAGAACATGCTAAGAACACGCTGACACGCTAAGGACATGCTAAGGACATGTCAAGGGGTAGGTGAGGCGGAACTGGGACTGCAGGCGTGTGGGGCGGCCCTGCTGGGCAGGGAACACGCTAAGGACACGCTAAGAACATGCTAAGGACACGCTGACACGCTAAGCACACACTAAGGACACGCTAAGCACACGCTAAGGACACGCTGACACGCTAAGGACATGTCAAGGGGTAGGTGAGGCGGAACTGGGACTGCAGGCGTGTGGGGCGGCCCTGCCGGGCGGGGAACACGCTAAGGACACGCTAAGGACACGCTAAGAACACGCTAAGGACACACTGACACGCTAAGGACATGTCATGGGGTAGGTGAGGCGGAACTGGGACTGCAGGCGTGTGGGGCGGCCCTGCCGGGCGGGGAACATGCTAAGCACACGCTAAGCACACGCTAAGGACATGTTACGGGTACAGTAAGGACACGCTAAGGACATGTTAAGGATACAATAAGGACACACTAAGGACAGGTTAAGGACACGCTAAAGACACATTAAGAACATATCAAGGACACACTAAGGACATGTTACGGACACACTAAGGACACGTTAAGGATACAATAAGGACACACTAAGGACACGTTAAGGACACATTCAGGACACGCCAAGGAAACGCTAAGGACATGCTAAGGACTTGCTAGGGACACGGTAAGGACACACTAAGGTCACGCTAAGAACATGCTAAGGACACGTTCAGGACATGCTACAGACACATGAAGGACACACTAAGCACATGTTAAGTACACGCTAAGGACAGGTTAAGGATACGCCAAGGTCACGCTAAGCGCTCGCTAGGGACACGGTAAGGACACGCTAAGTACACGCCAAGGACACAGTCACGACATGTTAAGGACACACTAAAAACATGCTAAGGACACGTTAAGGACGCATTAAAGACACACTAAGCACACGCTAAGGACATGTTACAGACACGTTAAAGACACACTAAGGACATGTTAAGGACACGTTAAGGACACACTAAGGACACGTTAAGGACACACTAAGCACACACTAAATACATGTTACAGACACATTAAAGACATGCTAAGGACACACCAAGGACACGCCAAGGACAAGCCAAGGACACGCTAAGGACACGCTAAGGACACGCTAAGGGGCTCACCAGCATCATGCGGTGCAGGTCGGGCAGGTCGGGCACGCTGCCCCGGCACAGGATGATCACGGTGCCCATGGCATCGAGCCCCCGGCGCCCGGCACGTCCGGACATCTGAATGTACTCACCTGTGGGGCAGCCCCATAGAGACCCATCGAGACCCCATAGAGACCCAGAGAGACGCCAGAGAGGCCATAGAGACCCATAGAGACCCATAGAGAGACTCACAGAGACCCCATAGGAAGCCCATAAACACCCAGAGTGACCCCATAAAGACCCATAGAGACCCCATAGATTCCCACAGCAACCCATAACTACCCCATAATGATCCCACAGGACCCCATAGTGACCATAACTACCCCATAGAGCCCCATAGTGACACATAGCGACACCATAGTGACACCATAGAACCCCACAGCACCCCATAACTAGCACATAGTGACCCATAGCGCCCCATAACTACTCCATAGTGAACCACAGAGCCCCATAGCGCCCCATAACTACCCCATAGTGACCCATTGAGACCCATAGAGACCCACAGAGAGCCCATAGAGCCCCATAGAGGCCCCATAGAGCCCCATAGAGACCCCATAGAGCCCCATAGGGCCCCATAGAGCCCCATAGAGGCCCCATAGAGGCCCCATAGAGCCCCATAGAGACCCCATAGAGCCCCCCTTGCCCCCCACCTGGCAGCAGGTCCCGGAAGTTGTTCCCGTCGTGCTTGCGGATGGAGTCGAAGACGACCGTGCGGGCCGGCATGTTCAGCCCCATAGCGAAGGTCTCGGTGGCAAAGAGCACCTGGGGTGGGGCAGGACCCATAGAGACCCCTTAGAAACCCATAGAGAGCCATAGAGACCCATAGAGAGCCATAGAGACCACAGGTACCCATAGAGCCCCATAGAGAGCCACAGAGCCCCATAGAGATCATAGAGACCCATAGAAACCCCATAGAGACCATAGAGCCCTATAGAGACCATAGAGCCCCATAGAGGCCACAGAGACCCATAGAGACCCTAGTGATGCACAGAGACCCATAGAGACCATAGAGCCCCGTAGAGCCCCATAGAGCCCTGAAGAGCCCCATAGAGCCCCATAGAGACCATAAAGACCCATAGACCCCACAGAGAGCCATAGAGCCCCATAGAGCCCATAGTGATGCATAGAGACCCATAGAGCCCATAGAGCCCCGTAGAGACCCATAGAGCCCCATAGAGAGCCATGCCTGCCCCACGGCTGCCCCACACACACCTTGACCAGCCCTTGGCTGAAGAGCATCTCCACGACCTCCTTGAGCAGGGGCAGGACCCCCCCGTGGTGCACCCCGATGCCCCGCTGCAGCAGCTCCCCAATGGCCACCACCTGGGGGACAGAGACCCATAGGGACCCATAGAGACCCATAGAGACCCATAGACCCCATAGAGACCCATAGGGACCCATAGAGACCCATAGAGACCCACAGAGACCCCATAGAGACCCCATAGAGACTCACAGACCCCCATAGAGCCCCATAGACCCCTATAGAGACCCCATAGAGCCCCATAGAGAGCCCATAGAGCCCCATAGAGACCCTATAGAGACCCCATAGATCCCCATAGAGCCCATAGAGACCCCATAGAGACCCCATCGAGACCCCATAGAGAGCCCATAGAGCCCCATACGGACCCCATAGATCCCCATAGAGACCCATAGACCCCATAGCGACCCGTAGAGACCCATAGAGACCCCACAGAGCCCCATAGAGACCCCATAGAGCCCATAGAGATCCATAGAGAGATACCCATAGAGACCCCATAGAGCCCCATAGAGCCCCATAGAGCCCCTTAGAGCCCCATAGGGCCCCATAGAGACCCCATAGAGACCCATAGAGACCCCATAGAGCCCCATAGAGCCCCATAGAGCCCATAGAGCCCCATAGAGCCCCATAGAGCCCCATAGAGACCCCATAGAGACCCCATAGAGACCCCATAGAGACCCCATAGAGCCCCATAGAGACCCCATACAAACCCATAGAGCCCCATAGGTACCATAGAGACCCCATAGAGCCCCATAGAGACCCCATAGATCCCCATAGAGCCCCATAGATCACCACAGCGCCCCATAGAGACCCCATAGAGCCCCATAGAGCCCCATAGAGCCCCATAGAGCCCCACAGAGCCCCATAGAGACCCCATAGAGACCCCATAGATCCCCATAGACCCCCATAGAGCCCCATAGAGCCCCCATAGATCCCCATAGATCCCCATAGAGCCCCCATAGAGCCCCATAGAGCCCCATAGAGCCCCATAGAGCCCCATAGAGCCCCATAGAGACCCCATAGATCCCCATAGAGCCCCATAGAGACCCCATAGAGCCCCCATAGATCCCCATAGAGCCCCATAGAGAGCCCATAGAGCCCCACAGAGACCCATAGAGACCCCATAGAGCCCCATAGAGACCCCATAGAGCCCCATAGCGCCCCATAGAGCCCCACAGAGCCTCATAGCGCCCCATAGAGACCCCATAGAGCCCCACAGAGACCCCATAGAGCCCCATAGTGCCCCATAGAGACCCACAGCGCCCCATAGAGACCCCATAGAGCCCCATAGAACCCCATAGAGACCCCATAGCGCCCCATAGATCCCCATAGCGCCCCATAGAGCCCCATAGATCCCCATAGAACCCCCCAGAACCCCCCCCAAGCGCCCCACCTGGGGCAGGCGCCGGTCGGGGGCCTTGAGGCGGGCGAGGCAGCGCTGGAGGAAGAGGCGGCTCCGCTGGCGCTCGCCGGGGGTCAGGAGCTCGGTGGGGCCCAGGGCGGCGGCGTGGGAGTCGCAGCGCCCGCGCGAGAACGTGAAGGCCACCACGGGGAGCTGCCCCCGAGCCTGCAGCAGCCCCAGCAGCCCCTGCCACAGCCCCCGCTCCTGGGGGGCACGGGGGGGTTAGGATGCAGGGTCTGGAGGGGGCGCTATGGGGTGCTATGGGGTGCTATGGGGTGCTATGGCGCTATGGGGTGCTATGGGGTGCTATGGGGTCTCTATGGGGTGCTATGGGGTCTCTATGGGGTGCTATGGGGTGCTATGGGGCGCTATGGGGCGCTATGGGGGGGGGGGGGTTAGGATGCAGGGTCTGGAGGGGGCGCTATGGGGCGCTATGGGGTGCTATGGGGTGCTGTGGGGTGCTATGGGGTGCTATGGGGTGCTATGGGGTGCTATGGGGTGCTATGGGGTGCAATGGGGTGCTATGGGGTATTATGGGGTGTTACAGGGTGCTATGGGGTGCTATGGGGTGCTATGGGGTGCTATGGCGCTATGGGGTGCTATGGGGTGCTATGGGGTGCTATGGGGTGCTATGGGGTCTCTATGGGGTGCTATGGGGTCTCTATGGGCTCTATGGGGCGCTATGGGGCTCTATGGGGCGCTATGGGGCACTATGGGGTGCTATGGGGCGGGCTATGGGGCGGCTATGGGGGGCTATGGGGTGCTATGGGGAGCTATGGGGTGCTATGGGGTGCTATGGGGGCTATGGGGTGCTATGGGGTGCTATGGGGACTATGGGGTGCTGTGGGGCTATGGGGGGGTTATGGGGTGCAGGGTCTGGAGGGGGCGCTATGGGGTGCTATGGGGTCTCTATGGGCTCTATGGGGCGCTATGGGGCTCTATGGGGCGCTATGGGGCACTATGGGGCGCTATGGGGTGCTATGGGGTGCTATGGGGTGCTATGGGGTGCTATGGGGCACTACGGGGGGGGTTAGTTCACAGGGTCTGGAGGGGGCGCTATGGGGCGCTATGGGGAGCTATGGGGTGCTATGGGGTGCTATGGGGTGCTATGGGGTGCTATGGGGTGCTATGGGGTGCTATAGGGGTGCTATGGGGTGCTATGGGGTGCTATGGGGTGCTATGGGGTGCTATGGGGTGCTATGGGGCTATGGGGTGCTATGGGGGCTATGGGGTGCTATGGGGTGCTATGGGGTGCTATGGGTTGCTATGGGGCGCTATGGGGTGCTATGGGGTGCTATGGGGAGCTATGGGGCGCTATGGGGAGCTATGGGGTGCTATGGGGTGCTATGGGGCGCTATGGGGTGCTATGGGGCACTGTGGGGTGCTATGGGGTGTTATGGGTGCTATGGGGTGCTATGGGCATCTATGGGTGCCATAGGGCACTGTGGGGTGCTATGGGGCGCTATGGGGCGCTGTGGGGTGCTATGGGGTGCTATGGGGTGCTATGGGGTGCTATGGGGCGCTATGGGGCGCTATGGGGCGCTATGGGGTGCTATGGGGCGCTATGGGGCACTATGGGGTGCTATGGGGCACTATGGGGCGCTATGGGGGAGAGGGAGGAAGGGAGGGGTTAGGTCGCAGGGTCTGGAGGGGGCGCTATGGGGTGCTATGGGGTCACTATGGGGGCTATGGGGTGCTATGGGGCGCTATGGGGAGCTATGGGGTCTCTATGGGGTGCTATGGGGTGCTATGGGGCACTATGGGGGGAGAGGGAGGAAGGGGGGGGTAGGTCACAGGGTCTGGAGGGGGTGCTGTGGGGTGCTATGGGGCACTATGGGTTCTATGGGGTGCTATGGGGTGCTATGGGGGGCTATGGGGCGCTATGGGGGGGCTATGGGGAGCTATGGGGGGCTATGGGGGGCTATGGGGCTATGGGGTGCTATGGGGCGCTATGGGGGATGGGGCACTATGGGGGGGGTTAGGTCGCTATGGGGGTCTGGAGGGGGCGCTATGGGGCTATAGGGGCTATGGGGCGCTATGGGTGCTATGGGGGCTATGGGGCGCTATGGGGTGCTATGGGGCGCTATGGGGCGCTATGGGGTGCTATGGGGTGCTATGGGGCCTATGGGGCGCTATGGGGAGCATGGGGTGCTATGGGGCGCTATGGGGTGCTATAGGGGGCTATGGGGTGCTATGGGGTATGGGGTCCTATGGGGGGCTATGGGGTGCTATGGGGTGCTGTGGGGTGCTATGGGGTGCTATGGGGCGCTATGGGGCACTATGGGGGGAGAGGGAGGAAGGGGGGGTTAGTTCGCAGGGTCTGGAGGGGGCGCTATGGGGCGCTATGGGGCGCTATGGGGTGCTATGGGTATCTATGGGTCTGTAGCTATGGGTCTGTATCTATGGGTCGCTATGGGGCAATATGGGTCTGTATCTATGGGGCGCTATGGGGTGCTATGGGGTGCTATGGGGCGCTATGGGGTGCTATGGGGCGCTATGGGGTGCTATGGGGTGCTATGGGGCACTACGGGGGGGGTTAGTTCACAGGGTCTGGAGGGGGCGCTATGGGGCGCTATGGGGCACTATGGGGCGCTATGGGTCTATGGGGCGCTATGGGGCGCTATGGTTCTATGGGGAGCCATAGGCCGCTATGGGGTGCTATGGGTCTATGGGGTGCTATGGGGCACTATGGGGGGCTATGGGGTGCTATGGGGTCATGGGGTCTAGGGGGCGCTATGGGGTGCTAGTGGGGTCTGGGGGTTATGGGGTGCTATGGGGTCGCTATGGGGTGGGGGGGTGCTATGGGGCACTATGGGGCCCTATGGGGGGCTATGGGGGGGGGCGCTATGGGGTGCTATGGGGGGCTATGGGGCAGTATGGGGGGGCTATGGGGTGCTATGGGGTGCTATGGGGTACTATGGGTGCTATGGGGTCCATGGGGTGCTATGGGTGCTATGGGGTGCTCTGGGGTGCTCTGGGTGCTATGGGGTCCATGGGGTGTCTATGGGGTCTAGGGTGTCTATGGGGCTATGGGGTCTATGGGGTTTAATGGAGGTCTAAAGGGGTCTATGGGGGGCTATGGGGTGCTATGGGGCACTATGGGGGGCTATGGGGTCAATGGGGCGCTATGGGGGGCTATGGGGCGCTATGGGGCGCTATGGGGCGTTAATGGGGGTCTACAGAGGTCTATGGGGGGCTATGGGGTGCTATGGGGCGCTATGGGGGGCTATGGGGTGAATGGGGTCAATGGGGTCTATGGGGTCTATGGGGGGCTATGGGGTGCTACGGGGCGCTATGGGGGGCTATGAGGTCAATGGGGCGCTATGGGGTCTACGGGGTCTATGGGGGGCTATGGGGTGCTATGGGGGGCTATGGGGTCAATGGGGCGCTATGGGGTCAGTGGAGGGCTATGAGGCGCTATGGGGTCAATGGGGTCTATGGGGTCTATGGGGGGCTATGGGGTGCTATGGGGCGCTAAGGGGGTCTATGGGGTCAATGGGGGTCTATGGGGGTCTGTGGGGTCTATGGGAGTCAATGGGAGTCAATGGGGGGCTATGGGGTGAATGGTGTCAATGGGGTCTATGGGGTCTATGGGGGGCTATGGGGTGCTATGGGGTCAATGGGGTGAATGGGGGTCTATGGGGGTTAATGGAGGTCTACAGGGGTCTATGGGGGGCTATGGGGCACTATGGGGCACTATGGGGTCTATGGAGTCTATGGGAGTCAATGGGGGGCTATGGGGTCTATGGGGGTCTGTGGGGTTAATGGAGGTCTATAGGGGTCTATGGGGGGCTATGGGGCGCTATGGGGTGCTATGGGGGGCTAGGGGGTCTATGGGGTGAATGGGGGTCTATGGGGTTTAATGGGGTCTATGCGGCTCTATGGGGTCTATGGAGGTTCCCAGTTCCCCCATTGACCCTCCTCTTCCTCTCCCAGTCTGACCATTTCCTCTGATGAAGAGAAGAGGTGAATGGGGGGCGCTATGGGGCATCTATGGGGTCTCTATGGGGTCTCTATGGGTCCCTATGGGTCTTTATGGGTCCCTATGGGTCTCTATGGGTCTCTATGGGTCCCTATGGGTCTCTATGGGTCTCCATGGGTCTCTATGGGGTCTCTATGTGGTCTCTATGGGGTCCCTATGGGTCTCTATGGGTTCTCTATGGGGTCTCCATGGGTCTCTATGGTGTCTATGGGGTCTCTATGGGTCTCTGTGGGGCTCTATGGGGTCCCTATGGGATCTCTATGGGTCTCCATGGGTCTCTATGGGGTCTCTATGGGGTTCCTATGGGATCTCTATGGGTCTCTATGGGTCTCTATGGGTCTCTGTGGGGCTCTTTGGGTCTCTATGTGGTCCCTGTGGGTCTCTATGGGGTCTCTATGGGTCTCTATGGGTCTCTGTGGGGCTCTATGTTTCTCTATGGGTCTGTGTGGGTCTCTATGGGGTCTCTATGGGTCTCTATGGGTCTCTATGGGGTCCCTATGGGTCTCTATGGGTCTCTATGGTGTCTATGGGGTCTCTATGGGTCTCTATGGGTCCCTATGGGTCTCCATGGGTCTCTATGGTGTCTATGGGGTCTCTATGGGTCTCTATGGGGCTCTATGGGGTCCCTATGGGTCTCCATGGGTCTCTATGGTGTCTATGTGGTCTCTATGGGTCTCTATGGTCTCTATGGGGCGCTCTGTGGGTCAGGCTCATGTCCCCCCCCCCAGCTCCGCCATCTTTGGCGCCATCGTCACCTACATGAAGCACTTGGGGGTCAGAGCCAAGGGGAGCGAAGGGAAGAAATCCCGGAGCCACTTCTTCCGGAAGAAGGTGGGGACCCCCCATTGAGCCCCATTGACCCCCATTGACCCCCATTGAACCCCATTGAGACCCACTGACCCCCATTGACCCCCATTGAGCCCCATTGACCCCCATTGAGCCCCATTGAGCCCCGTTGATTCCCATTGACCCCCATTGAGCCCCATTGAGCCCCATTGAGCCCCATTGAACCCCATTGAGCCCCATTGAGCCCCATTGAACCCCATTGAGCCCCATTGAGCCCCATTGACCCCATTGAGCCCCATTGACCCCCATTGAGCCCCATTGAGCCCCATTGACTCCCATTGAGCCCCATTGAGCCCCATTGACTCCCATTGACCCCCATTGAGCCCCATTGAACCCCATTGACCCCCATTGAGCCCCATTGAGCCCCATTGACCCCCATTGAACCCCATTGAGCCCCATTGACCCCCATTGAGCCCCATTGGCCCCATTGACCGCCATTGAGCCCCATTGACCCCCATTGACCCCCATTGAGCCCCATTGAGCCCCATTGAACCCCATTGACCCCCATTGAACCCCATTGACCCCCATTGAGCCCCTTTGAGCCCCATTGTCCCCATTGCCCCCCATTGCCCCCCATTGTCCCCATTGCCCCCCATTGACCCCTATTGACCCCCATTGACCCCATTGACTCCCATTGACTCCCATTGACCCCAATTGACCCCCATTGACTCCCATTGACTCCCATTGACCCCCATTGACCCCCATTGAGCCCCATTGCCCCCCATTGACCCCCATTGAGCCCCTTTGAGCCCCATTGAGCCCCATTGAACCCCATTGAACCCCATTGACCCCCATTGACCCCCATTGAGCCCCATTGACCCCCATTGAGCCCCATTGACCCCCATTGACCCCCATTGAGCCCCATTGACTCCCATTGACTCCCATTGAGCCCCATTGACTCCCATTGACCCCCATTGACCCCCATTGACTCCCATTGACCCCCATTGACCCCCATTGACCCCCATTGACCCCCATTGAGCCCCATTGACCCCCATTCAACCCCATTGACCCCCATTGACCCCCATTGAGCCCCATTGAGCTCCACTGGACCCCATCAATCCCATTGGACCCCATTGAACCCCACTGACTCCCATTGCCCCCCATTGCCCCCCATTGCCCCCCATTGCCCCCCATTGCCCCCCATTGACCCCCATTGACCCCCATTGACCCCCATTGAGCCCCATTGACCCCCATTGACCCCCATTGCCCCCCATTGCCCCCCATTGACCCCCATTGACCCCCATTGACCCCCATTGAGCCCCATTGACCCCCATTGACCCCCATTGCCCCCCATTGCCCCCCATTGACCCCCATTGCCCCATTGCCCCCCATTCCCTCAGCATTCCGGTGCCCGGAAGCCGGAGGAGCCGCAGGGCCGGGCCCGCCGGGGGTTCCTGCTGCCGGGGGGGGCGCTGTGGGGCCGGGACCCCCAGGGTGAGTATGGGGGGGAAGGGGGGGGGCTTGAACACCCCCCAAGTCCCTTTAAAACCCCTTAAAACACCCCAAAAATGCCCAAAATAGCCCCAAAACATCCCATAATAAACCAAAAATACCCCAAAATAACCTAAATAACCCCAAATACCCCAAAACATCCCATAATAACTCAAAAATACCCCAAAATAACCTAAATAACCCCAAAATACCCCCCAAATATCCCATTATAACCCCAAAATACCCAAAAATAACCTAAAATACCCCAAAACATCCCATAATAACCCCCAAATACCCCCAAAACATCCCATAATAACCCCAAAATACCCAAAATACCCTAAAATAACAGAAAATACCCCCAAACATCCCATAATAACCCCCAAATACCCAAAAATACCCTAAAATAACCGAAAATACCCCCAAAACATCCCATAATAACCCCAAAATACCCCAAAATACCCTAAAATACCCCAAAATACCCCCAAACATCCCATAATAACCCCAAATACCCCCAAAACATCCCATAATAACACCCAAATACCCAAAAATACCCTAAAATAACCCGAAATACCCCCAAAACATCCCATAATAGACCCAAAATACCCCAAAACATCCCATAATACCCCCAAAACATCCCATAATAACCCCAAAATACCCCAAAATACCCTAAAATAACCCAAAATACCCCAAAACATCCCATAATAACCGAAACCACCCCAAAATAACCCAAAATAACCCAAAACACCCCAAAATGACCTAAAACACCCCAAAATGTCCCAAAACACCCCAAAATGATCCAAACCACCCCAAAAATGACCCAAAACATCCTAAAATAACCCAAACACCCCAAAATGACCCCAAAATGATCCAAAACACACCAAAAATGACCCCAAAACACCCCAAAAATGACCCAAAACACCCCAAAATGACCCAAAACACCCTAAAATACCCCAAACACCCAAAAATGACCCCAAAATGATCCAAAACACACCAAAAATGACCCCAAAACACCCCAAAATGACCTAAAACACCCCAAAATGACCCAAAACACCCCAAAATGACCCCAAAACGCCCCCAAATGACCCCAATACCCTAACCCCCCCCAAAATGACCCAAACCACCCCAAAATGACCTAAAACGCCCCAAAATAACGCAAAACACCCTAAAATAACCCAAAATGACCCCAATTGACTCCAAACACCCCAAAATGACCTAAACCACCCCAAAATAACCCAAAACATCCCAAAATGACCCAACCCCCACAAAATGACCCCAAATGACCCCAAACCGACCCAAAACTCCCCAAAATGACCTAAAACACCCCAAAATAACCCCAAATGACCCAAAACACCCCAAAACGACCTAAAACACCCCAAAATAACCCCCAAAAAACCAAAACAACCCAAAACACCCCAAAATGACCCAAAATACCCCAAAATGTCCTAAAACACCCAAAAACTCCCCAAAATGACCCAAACCACCCCAAAATGACCCAAAACACCCCAAAATGACCCCAAATGCCCCAAACCACCTTAATCCAGCCCAAAATGACCCAAACCCCCCCAAATCTGCCCCCCACCCCCCCCCCATTCCCATTGCAGCCCCCGAGGGCCGGCACGGCAAAGGCAGCGAGAGCGAAGGTAACGACCCCCCATAGAGCCCCATAGAGCCCCATTGAGCCCCATTGAGCCCCATAGAGCCCCATAGAGACCCATAGAGCCCCATAGAGACCCATAGAGCACATAGAGACCCATAGAGCCCCATAGAGCCCCATAGAGCCCCATTGAGACCCATAGAGCCCCATAGAGACCCATAGAGACCCATAGAGACCCATAGAGACCACATAGAGACCACATAGAGACCCATAGAGACCCATAGAGACCCCATAGAGACCCCATAGGGACACATAGAGACCCATAGAGACCCCATAGAGACCCATAGAGACCCCATAGAGACCCATAGAGACCCATAGAGACCCATAGAGACCCCATAGAGACCCCATAGAGACCCATAGAGACCCCATAGATCCCCATAGAACCCATAGAGGCCCATAGACTCCCATAGCACCCCATAGATCCTCATAGCACCCCATAGAACCCATAGAGATTGAGCCCCATAGAGCTCCACAGAATCCGTTGAGCCCCATAGAATCCATTGAGCCCCATAGAGCCCCATAGAGCCCCATTGAACCCATTGAGCCCCATTGAACCCATTGAGCTCCATTGAGTCCCATTGAGCCCCATTGAGCCCCATAGAGCCCCATAGAGCACCATAGAGCCCCATTGAGCCCCATAGAGACCCATAGAGCCCCATTGACCCCATTGAACCCATTGAACCCATTGAGCCCCATAGAGCCCCATAGAGCCCCATAGAGCCCCATTGAACCCATTGAGCCCCATTGACCCCATTGAGCTCCATTGAGCCCCATAGAGCCCCATATAGCCCCATTGACCCCATTGACCCCATTGAGCCCCATAGAGCCCCATTGACCCCATTGAGCCCCATTGAGCCCCATTGAGCCCCACAGAAACCCATTGCCCCCCATTGCCCCCCATTACCCCCATTGACCCCCCATTACCCCCCCATTGCCCCCCATTGCCCCCATTGCCCCCCATTGCCCCCCATAGCCCCCCATTGCCCCCAATGGGTGACCCCAAGGTTCTGACCCCCACCCCCCCCATTGCCCCCCACCTGCCCCATAGGGGACAAGGCCCCCCCCCCGGACAAGAGGGGCCCGAAGGGGGCGGATTGACCCCCATTGAGGGGCGTGGCCCGGGCCCCCCATTGGGGGGCAGCGCCCCCATTACCCCCATTGACCCCCATTGCCCCCCATTGCCCCCCATTGCCCCTCAGCCCCCCCCCCCAGGCCGATGGATCCCCCCAGGGGGACGCAGGTTGACCCCCATTGGAGGCACCCCATTGAGCCCCATTGAGCCCCATTGAAACCCATTGAGCCCCATTGAGCCCCATTGAAACCCATTGAAACCCATTGAGCCCCATTGAGCCCCATTGAAACCCATTGAGCCCCATTGAGCCCCATTGAGCCCCATTGAGCCCCATTGAAACCCATTGAAACCCATTGAGCCCCATTGAGCCCCATTGAAACCCATTGAGCCCCATTGAGCCCCATTGAGCCCCATTGAACTGCATTGAACCCCATTGAGCCCCATTGAGTCCCATTGAACCCCATTGAGCCCCATTGAACCCCATTGAGCCCCATTGAGGCCATTGATCCCCATTGGCCCTCATTGAACCCCATTGAACCCCATTGATGCCATTGAGCCCCATTGACCCTCATTGAGCCCCATTGAACCCCATTGACCCCATTGATCCCCATTGAACCCCATTGAAACCCATTGAGCCCCATTGATTCAATTGAGCCCCATTGATTCCCACTGAACCCCACTGAACCCCATTGACCCCATTGACCCCCATTGAACCCATTGACCCCATTGATCCCCATTGAACCCCATTGAGCCCCATTGAACCCCACTGAAACCCATTGAGCCCCATTGATCCAATTGAACCCCATTGATTCCCACTGAACCCCACTGAACCCCATTGATCCCATTGCCTCCCATTGATCCCATTGCTCCCCATTGCCCCCCATTGCCCCCCATTGCCCCCCATTGATCCCATTGCCCCCCATTGATCCCATTGCCCCCCATTGCCCCCCATTGCCCCCCATTGACTGCCATTGAACCCATTGCCCCCCATTGCCCCTCATTGCCCCCCATTGCTCCCCATTGCCCCCCATTGCCCCCCCATTGCCCCCCATTGCCCCCCATAGATCCCATTGCCCCCATTGTCCCCCATTGCCCCCATTGTCCCCCATTGCCCCCCATTGCTCCCCATTGCCCCCCATTGCTCCCCATTGCCCCCCCCCCCATTGCCCCCCAGCACCCCCATTGGAGGGGGCTGGGAATTGCCCCCCCCCCCCCATCCCCCCAAACCCCCCCCCCAGTGCCCCCCAAAATCACCCCCAAATCACCCCAAAAACAGACCCAAATCCCCCCTAAATCACCCCAAAAACAGACCCAAATCAACCCTAAATCACCCCAAAAACAGCACCCAAATCAGGGGGCTGGGAATGAGAGGTGAAGCACCCCACCCCCAGACCCAAATCACCCCAAAACCAGACCCAAATCACTGCAAATCACCCCAAAAACAGCCCCAAATCACCCCAAAACAGACCCAAATCACCCCTAAATCACCAGAAAACCAGCCCCAAATCACTGCAAATCACTCCAAAACAGACCCAAATCACCCCTAAATCACCCCAAAAACAGACCCAAATCACCCCAAAAACAGACCCAAATCACCCCCAAATCACCCCAAAAACAGACCCAAATCACCCCTAAATCACCCCAAAAACAGACCCAAATCACCCCAAAAAAAGACCCAAATCACCCGTAAATCACCCCAAAACAGACCCAAATCACCCCAAAACCAGACCCAAATCACTGCAAATCACCCCAAAAACAGACCCAAATCACCCCAAAAACAGACCCAAATCACCCCCAAATCACCCCAAAAACAGACCCAAATCACCCCTAAATCACCCCAAAAACAGACCCAAATCACCCCTAAATCACCCCAAAAACAGACCCAAATCACCCCAAAAACAGACCCAAATCACCCCCAAAACAGACCCAAATCACTGCAAATCACCCCACAAACAGACCCAAATCACCCCAAAAACAGACCCAAATCACTGCAAATCACCCCAAAAACAGACCCAAATCACCCCAAAAACAGACCCAAATCACCCCTAAATCACCCCAAAACAGCCCCAAAACCCTGCAGATCACCCAAAACCAGCCCCAAATCACTGCAAATCACCCCAAAATCACTGCAAATCACTGCAAATCGCCCCCAAAACACCCCAAATCACTGCAAACCACCCCAAAATCACTGCAAATCACTCCAAAATCACTGCAAATCACCCCAAAATCACTGCAGATCACCCCCAAACCACACCAAATCACTGCAAATCACTCCCAAAATCCCTGCAAATCACTCCCAAAATCACTGCAAACCACCCCAAAATTACCCCAAAACCACCCCAAATCACTGCAAATCACTTCAAAAATCACTGCAAATCACTCCAAAAAATCACTGCAAATTACTCCAAATGCCCCAAAATCACTGCAAATCACCCCAAATGCCCCAAAATCACTGCAAATCACCCCAAAACCACACCAAATCACTGCAATTCACTCCAAATGCCCCAAAATCACTGCAAATCACCCCAAAACCACACCAAATCACTGCAATTCACTCCAAATGCCCCCAAATCACCCCAAACCACCCCAAAACCACCCCAAATCACCCCAAAATCACTGCAAATCACTGCAAAAACCACTGCAAATCACTCCCAAACCACCCCAAAACCACCCCAAATCACTGCAAATCACTTCAAAAATCACTGCAAATCACTCCAAAAATCACTGCAAATCACTCCAAATGCCCCAAAATCACCGCAAACCACCCCAAAACCACCCCAAATCACTGCAAATCACTCCCAAAATCACTGCAAATCACTCCCAAAATCACTGCAAATCACTCCAAATGCCCCAAAATCACTGCAAATCACCCCAAAACCACACCAAATCACTGCAAATCACTCCAAATGCCCCAAAATCACTGCAAATCACCCCAAATCACCCCAAAATCACTCCAAAAATCACTGCAAATCACTCCCAAACCACCCCAATTCTCCCCCCCCCCCCATTGAGACCTATCGGGGGGCTCTATAGGAATACATAAGGATATATATGGGGGGGGGGGTTGGGTTTATGGGGGTGCTGCTTTGTGACCCCTCCCCCCCTCTCTCTTTTACCCCGCCCCTCCCCCAGCCCGGAGGTGGGGGGGGAGCCCCCAGGCTCCTTCCTGCCCCTCCCCCCCCCCCCGGAGGCGGAGCCGGAGCCGGAGCCTTGGCGGGTCCTGGTCCCCCCCCCCGTGCTGCAGGGGCTGAGCAAGAGCGAGCGCCGGCGCCAGGAGGTCATCGATGGTGAGCGACGGACACAAAACACCCCAAAAACAGCCAAAAACAGCCCCAAAACAGCCAAAAAACACCCCAAAACAGCCCAAAACACCCCAAAAACACCCCAAAACACCCAAAAACCACCCCAAAAACAGCACAAAACCACCCCAAAACAGCCAAAAACACCCAAAAACCCACCAAAACAGGCCAAACCAGCCCCAAAACACCCCGAAACACCCCAAAACCAGACCAAATTGCCCCCAAAATAGCCAAAAATGGACCTAAATTGCCCAAAATCAGCCCAAAATGAACCCTCCCCATATCCCCCCTATACCCCCCAATATCCCCCCATGTCCCGCCATATCCCCCCATACCCCCCATAGCCCCCCCATATCTCCCCATATCCCCCCATACCCCCCCATTCCCCCCCATATCCACCCCATATCCCCCTCATATCCCCCCATATCCCCCCCATACCCCCCCAAACCCCCCCATTCCCCCCCATATCCACCCCATAGCACCCCCCCCATAGCCCTATAGCGCCCCCCTTGTGTCCGCAGAGCTGGTGCTGACCGAGGGGGCCCACGTGCGGGTGCTGCGGGTGCTGCTGGAGCTCTTCTATGGCCCCGCCCTGCGGGGGGGGTTCTTCCCCGCCCCCGACCTGCACAACATCTTCCCCGGCCTCGAGGACCTTGTGGAGGCGCACGGTGAGAGATGCAAAATACCCCCAAAACACCCCAAAAACGGCCAAAATACACCCAAAAATGGCCAAAATCGACCCAAGAATGGCCAAAATCGACCCAAAAATGGCCAAAATCGACCTAGGAATGGCCAAAATACACCCAAAAATGGCCAGAATCGACCCAAGAATGGCCAAAATCGACCTAGGAATGGCCAAAATACACCCAAAAATGGCCAGAATCGACCCAAGAATGGCTAAAATCGACCCCAAAATGGCCAAAATACACCCAAAAACAGCCAAAATCAACCCAAGAATGGCCAAAATCGACCCAAGAATGGCCAAATACACCTAAAACCGGCCAAAATCGACCCAAAACCAGCCAAAATACACCCAAAACTGGCCAAAATTGACCCAAAACTGGCAAAAATACTAAAAATGGCCAAAATACACGCAAGAATGGCCAAAATCGACACAAAAATGGCCAAAATCGACCCAAAATGGCCAAAATACACCCCAAAACCGCCCTCACCCCCCCCACGATGGTGGTGATGAGATGATGGATGATGATGATGACGACGATGATGATGACGACGATGATGGTGACGTTGATAACGATGATGATGATGTGACGATGACGATGATGACGATGACAATGACGATGACAATGACGATGACGATGATGACGATGATGATGACGACAATGACGACGATGACGACGATGATCGTGATGATGACGACAATGACGATGACGACAGTGACGATGATGACGATGACAACAATGGATGACAATGACGATGACCATGATGACGATGACGACGACGATGCATGACGATGATGGATGACAATGATGATGGATGACAATGACGATGATGATGACGATGACGATGACGACAATGACGATGACAACGACGACGATGACAATGATGATGGATGACAATGACGACGATGACAATGACGATGACGACAATGACGATGACAATGATGATGGATGACGAAGACGATGATGATGGATGACAATGGCGATGGCGACGATGACGATGACAATATGATGGATGACGATGACGACGATGGATGACAATGACGATGACAATGACGATGACGACAATGACGATGACGACGATGACAATGACGATGACGACAATGACGATGACGATGACGACGATGACGACGACGATGATGATGGATGACAATGACGATGATGATGCTGATGATGACGACAATGATGATGACGATGACAACAACGATGATGATGGATGACAATGACGATGATGACAATGACGATCACAATAACGACGATGACGATGACGACGATGTCGATGACGATGATGCCGATGCCGATGCCAATGATGCCGATGATGGATGATGATGATGGATGACGATGACGACGATGATGACGATGACGACGATGACGACGATGATGATGACGATGACGACGATGGATGCCAATGATGACGATGATGGATGACGATAACGACGATGACGACGATGATGATGATGGATGACAATGACGATGATGATGCTGACGATGACGACGATGACGACAACGATGATGACGATGACAATGACGATGACGATGACGATGACGATGACGATGACAATGATGATGGATGACGAAGACGATGATGATGGATGACAATGACGATGACAACAATGACGATGACGATGATGATGACAATGACGATGACGACAATGACGATCACAATGGCGATGATGACGATGACGACGATGACGATGCCGATGATGCCGATGCCGATACCAATGATGACGATGATGGATGACGATGACGACGATGACGACGATGATGGTGGATGACAATGACGATGACGATGATGACGATGACAACGATGATGCCGATGCCGATGCCAATGATGCCGATGATGGATGATGATGATGGATGACGATGACGACGATGATGACGATGACGACGATGACGACGATGATGATGACGATGACGACGATGACAATGATGGATGACGATGATGATGATGATGCTGACGATGACGACGATGACGATGATGATGCTGACGATGACGACGATGACGACAACGATGATGACGATGACAATGACGATGACGATGACGATGACAATGACGATGACGATGACGATGACAATGATGATGGATGACGAAGACGATGATGATGGATGACAATGACGATGACAACAATGACGATGACGATGATGACAATGACGATGACGACAATGACGATCACAATAACGACGATGACGATGACGACGATGTCGATGACGATGATGCCGATGCCGATGCCAATGATGACGATGATGGATGACGATGACGACGATGACGACGATGATGGTGGATGACAATGACGATGACGATGATGACGATGACAACGATGATGCCGATGCCGATGCCAATGATGCTGATGATGGATGACAATGACGACGATGATGACGATGACGACGATGATGATGACGATGACGATGAAGATGATGCCCCCCCCCCAGCTCTGTTCCTGGGCAGCCTCAGGCGGCGGCAGGAGGAAAGCGGCTTCGTCATCGGGGCCATCGGGGACCTGCTGCTGGCGCGGGTCAGAGCCTGCCCTTAGCGTGTCCTTAGCGTGTGCTTAACGTGTCCTTAGCGTGTGCTTAACGTGTCCTTAGCGTGTGCTTAATGTGTCCTTAACATGCCCCTAACGTGTCCTTAGCTTGTCCTTAACGTACCCTTAGCATGTGCTTAACATGTCCTTAACGTGTTCTTAGCATGTGCTTAAGGCATCCTTAACATATCCTAAGCATCCTTAAACGTTTCCTGTGTTCTAAGCATGTTATCACATGCCCTAAGCATGTTTTCACGTGTCCTAAGCATGTTTTCACATGTTATCCTGTGTTCTAAGTATGTTATCATGTGTTGTCATGTGTCCTTAATGTGTTATCCCATGTCCTAAGCGTGTCCTACGTGTGCTATTGCGTGTCCTAAGCGTGTTATCACACGAGTCATGTGTCCATAGTGTGTTATCCCGTAAGCATGTCCTGTGTTATCCCATGTTCTAAGCATGTTCTAAGTATGTTATCACGTGTCCTAACCATGTTATCACGCTATCATGTCCTAAGCATGCTATCACGTGTTAGCACGTCTCAAGCATGTTATCACATGTAGTCACGTTTTAAGCATGTTATTCTGTGTCCTAAGTGTGTTATTGTGTGTCCTAAGCATGTTATCATGTGTCCTAAGTGTGTTATCACCTGTCCTAAGCATGTTATCACTTGTCCTAAGCATGTTATCACGTGTCCTAAGCATGTTATCGCATGTTCTAAGCATGTTATCACATGTCCTAAGCATGTTATCACTTGTCCTAAGCATGTTATCACTTGTCCTAAGCATGTTATCACCTGTCCTAAGCATGTTATCACTTGTCCTAAGCATGTTATCACGTGTTATCACATGTTCTAAGCATGTTATCACATGTTCTAAGCATGTTATCACTTGCCCTGTTTATCACCTGTTCCCAAAGCATGTTATCACCCCCAAAACCGCCCAAAACGTCCAGGTACACAAAATCCTAAGCATGTTATCACTTGCCCTAAGCATGTTATCACTTGTCCTAAGCATGTTATCACCTGTCCTAAGCATGTTATCACGTGTTATCACATGTTCTAAGCATGTTATCACATGTTCTAAGCATGTTATCACACACCAAAACCGCATGTTCCACCCCCCAAAAAACATAAATCACGGCGACCCCAAAATCGACCCCAAAAACACTAAAATCGCCCAAACTAGCCCCAAACTAGCCCCAAAACACCCAAGACCCAAAAGCATCGCAAGGACGCGCGCTTCAACCACCTCATCCAGGTACCCAAAACACCCCAAAACCGCCCAAAATGCCCCAAAATCACCCCAAAAAACCATAAAACACCCCAAAATACCCCAAAATCGACCCCAAAAACACTAAAATCGCCCAAACTAGCCCCAAACTAGCCCCAAAACACCGAAGACCCCAAAGCATCACCAGGATGCGTGCTTCAACCACCTCATCCAGGTACCCAAAACACCCCAAAACCGCCCAAAATGCCCCAAAATCACCCCAAAAAAACATAAAACACCCCAAAATACCCCAAAATCGACCCAAAAACCACTAAAATTGCCCAAACTAGACCCAAACTAGCCCCAAAACACCCAAGACCCAAAAGCATCGCAAGGACGCGCGCTTCAACCACCTCATCCAGGTACCCAAAACACCCCAAAACCGCCCAAAACGGCCCAAAATCACCCCCAAAAAACATAAAACACCCCCAAATACCCCAAAATCGACCCAAAAACCGCTACAATCGCCCAAACTAGACCCAAACTAGCCCCAAAACACCCAAGACCCAAAAGCATCATAAGGATGCGTGCTTCAACCTCCTCATCCAGGTACCCAAAACACCCCAAAACGGGCCAAAATCGCCCAAAATCAACCCAAAATGACCCAAATTAACCCAAAATGACCCAAATTAACCCAAAATTACCCCAAATAACCCAAATTACCCCAAAATAGCCCCAAGCCCAGCCCCTGAACCCCAAAGCATCACCAGGGATGCGTGTTTCAGCCCCATCATCCGGGTACCAAACCCCATCAACCCGCCTCAAAACCCCCCAAAATCCCCCCAAATCGACCCAAAATGAACCAAATTAACCCAAAATGACCCAAATTAGCCCAAAATGACCCAAAATGACCCAAATTAACCCAATAGCTCCAAACCCATCCCCTGAGCCCCAAAGCATCACCAGAGATGCGCGCTTCAGCCCCATTATCTGGGTACCAAACCCCATCAACCCACCTCAAAACCCCCCAAAATCCCCCCAAATCGACCCAAAATGACCCAAATTAACCCAAAATGACCCAAATTAACCCAAAATGACCCAAAATACCCCAAAATAGTCCCAAACCCAGCCCCTCAGCCCCAAAGCATCACCAGGGATGCGCGCTTCAGCCCCATCATCCGGGTACCAAACCCCATCAACCCGCCTCAAAACCCCCCAAAATCCCCCCAAATCGACCCCAAATGACCCAAATTAACCCAAAATGACCCAAATTAACCCAAAATGACCCAAAATTCCCCAAAATAGTCCCAAACCCAGCCCCTCAGCCCCAAAGCATCACCAGGGATGCACGCTTCAGCCCCATCATCCGGGTACCAAACCCCATCAACCCATCTCAAAACGGCCCAAAATCCCCCCAAATCGACCCAAAATGAACCAAATTAACCCAAAATGTCCCAAATTAACCCAAAATGACCCAAATTACCCCAAAATCACCCCAAATTACCCCCAAACCCAGCCCCTGCCCCCCAAAGCATCACCAGGGATGCGCGCTTCAGCCCCATCATCCGGGTACCAAACCCCATCAACCCACCTCAAAACCCCCCAAAATCCCCCCAAATCGACCCAAAATGACCCAAATCGACCCAAAATGACCCAAAATCCCCCCAATTCACCCCAAATCTGCCCCCATTCGCAGGAGGCCGAGAGCCACCCCCGCTGCCGACGTCTTCAGCTCCGGGACATCATCCCCAGCGAGATGCAGCGCCTGACCAAGTACCCATTGCTCCTGCAGAGCATCAGTGCTTGTACCGGTGAGATCCAGCCCAAAATGACCCAAAACCGCCCAAATTCAGCCCAAAAACCGAGCCCCAACCCCTCTGCTGAGATCCAGCCCAAAATCAGCCCCAAAATCGCCCAAATTCACCCCAAAACGGAGCCCCAAACGCACCCCCCCCCTTCAACACCACCCATTGCTCGTGCAGAGCATCAGGGCTTGGACCGGTGAGATCCAGCCCAAAATGACCCAAAACCGCCCAAATTCACCCCAAAATGTAGCCCCAACCCCTCTGCTGAGATCCAGCCCAAAATCAGCCCCAAAATCGCCCAAATTCAACCCAAAACGGAGCCCCAAACACACAAACCCCCCCTTCAACACCACCCATTGCTCCTGCAGAGCATCAGTGCTTGTACCGGTGAGATCCAGCCCAAAATGACCCAAAACCGCCCAAATTCAGCCCAAAAACCGAGCCCCAACCCCTCTGCTGAGATCCAGCCCAAAAAACAGCCCCAAAATTGCCCAAATTCAACCCAAAACGGAGACCCAAACTCACCCCCCCCCTTCAACACCACCCACTGCTCCTGCAGAGCATCAGTGCTTGTACCAGTGAGATCCCGCCCAAAATGACCCAAAACCGCCCAAATTCAGCCCAAAATGTAGCCCCAACCCCTCTGCTGAGATCCAGCCCAAAATCAGCCCCAAAATCGCCCAAATTCAACCCAAAATGGAGCCCCAAACGCCCATGGCCCCCCATTGACTTCATTGACTCCATTGACTCCCATTGACCCCCATTGACCCCCATTGCCCCCCATTGCCCCCCATTGACCCCCATTGACTCCCATTGATCCCCATTGACTCCCACTGACTCCCATTGACCCCCATTGACTCCCATTGACTCCATTGCCCCCCATTGCCCCCCATTGCCCCCCATTGACCCCCATTGCCCCCCATTGACCCCCATTGACCCCCATTGACCCCCATTGACCCCATTGACCCCCATTGACCCCCATTGACTCCCATTGCACCCCATTGCCTCCCCTTGACCCCCATTGCCCCCCATTCCCATTGACCCCCATTGACCCCCATTGACCCCCATTGCCCCCCATTGCCCCCCATTGCCTCCATTGCCCCCAATTGGCCCCCATTGACCCCCATTGACCCCCATTGCCCCCCATTGTCCCCCATTGACTCCCATTGCCCCCCATCACCCCCCATTGACCCCCCCCATTGACCCATTGACCCCCATTGACCCCCATTGCCCCCCATTGACTCCCATTGCCCCCCATTGACCCCCATTGACCCCCATTGACTCCATTGACCCCCATTGCCCCCCATCGACTCCCATCGACCCCCATTGACCCCCATTGATCCCCATTGACCCCCATTGACCCCCATTGACCTCCATTGACCCCCATTGCCCCCCATGGACCCCATTGCCCCCCACTGCCCCCCATTGACCCCCATTGACCCCCATTGACCCCCATGGACTCCATTGACCCCCATTGCCCCCCATCGAGCCCCTTTCACTCCCATTGACTCCCATTGACCCCCATTGACTCCCATTCACCCCATTGTTTCCCATTGTCTCCCATTGACCCCCATTGACCCCCATTGACCCCCATTGACTCCATTGACTCCCATTGACCCCCATTGTCCCCCATTGACCCCCATTGACCCCCATTGTCCCCCATTGACCCCCATTGTCCCCCATTGCCCCCCATTGCCCCCCATTGACCCCCATTGTCCCCCATTGACTCCCATTGACCCCCATTGACCCCCATTGACTCCCATTGACCCCCATTGACCCCTATTGACCCCATTGCCCCCCATTGCCCCCCATTGCCCCCCATTGACCCCCAGAGGAACCCAAGGATCGGGCCCGCGTGGAGAAGGCGGCCGAGTGCTGCCGCCGCATCCTGGACCACGTCAACCGGGAGGTGCGGGACATGGAGAACCTCATGGTACGGACCAGTATAAACCAGTATAAACCAGTATAAACCAGTATGGACCGGTATGGACCAGTACGGACCAGTATAAACCAGTATAAACCAGTATAAACCAGTATGGGCCAGTATGGACCCCATTGGGGACCAGTATGGACCAGTATAGACCAGTATGGACCCCATTGGGGACCAGTATGGACCAGCATGGACCAGTATAAACTAGTATGGACCAGTATGGACCCCATTGGGGACCAGTATGGACCAGTATGGACCCCATTGGGGACCAGTATGGACCAGTATGGACCAGTATGGACCCCATTGGGTCCCAGTATGGGCCAGTATGGACCAGTATGGACCCATTGGGGACCAGTATGGACCAGTATGGACCAGTATGGACCCCATTGGGGACCAGTATGGACCAGTATGGACCCCATTGGGGACCAGTATGGACCAGTATGGACCAGTATGGACCCCATTGGGGACCAGTATGGACCAGTATGGACCCCATTGGGGACCAGTATGGGCCAGTATGGGCCAGTATGGACCCATTGGGGACCAGTATGGGCCAGTATGGACCAGTATGGGACCAGTGCATCCCTACTGGCCCCCCCTTTACCCTCCAGTGTCCCCCTCGTGCCCCCCAGTGCCTCCCAGTATGGAGCAGTCTATCCCAATCCCATCCCAGTTCATCCCAGTTCATCCCAATCCCATCCCAGTCCCTCCCAATCCATCCCAGTCCCTCCCAGTCCATCCCAATCCCATCCCAGTTCATCCCAATCCCATCCCAGTTCATCCCAGTTCAATCCCAGTTCATCCCAGTCAATCCCAGTTCCTCCCAGTTCATCCCAATCCCATCCCAGTCCATCCCAGTCCATCCCAATCCCCTCCCAATCCCATCCCAGTCCATCCCAGTCCATCCCAGTCCATCCCAGTGCCTCCCAATCCCATCCCAGTCCATCCCATTCCAATCCCAGTCCATCCCAGTCCATCCCAGTCCATCCCAATCCAGTCCCAGTCCATCCCAGTTCATCCCAATCCCATCCCAGTTCATCCCAGTTCATCCCAATCCCATCCCAGTCCCTCCCAGTGCCTCCCAGTCCATCCCAATCCAGTCCCAGTCCCTCCCATTCCCATCCCAGTCCATCCCAGTCCATCCCAATCCAATCCCAGTCCATCCCAGTCCCTCCCAGTGCCTCCCAGTCCCTCCCAGTCCATCCCAATCCAATCCCAATCCCATCCCAGTCCATCCCAGTCCATCCCAGTCCCTCCCAGTCCATCCCAATCCCATCCCAGTGCCTCCCAGTGCCTCCCATTGCCCCAACAGAAGCTCAAGGATTACCAGCGCCGCCTCGACCTCTCCGGCCTCAAGCAGAGCTCGGACCCCTTGCTGAGCGAGTTCAAGGTGAAAACACCCCAAAAACACCCAAAAACAGCCCCAAAACACCCAAAAACACCCTAAAACAGCCCCAAAACACCCCAAAACACCCCAAAACAACCCAAAACCACCCAAAACACCCCCAAAACACCCCAAAACAACCCCAAAACAGCCCAAAAACACCCCAAAACAGCCCCAAAACACCCCAAAAACAGCCCAAATCAGCCCCAAACAGGCCAAAATCAGCCCAAAACACCCCAAAACAGCCCAAAACACCCCCAAAACACCCCAAAACACCCCAAAACCACCCCAAAACAGCCCCAGAACACCCAAATACACCCCCAAAACACCCCAAAACAACCCAAACCCACCCCAAAACACCCCCAAAACAGCCCCAAAACCACCCCAAAACCACCACCCAAAACAGCCCAAAACCACCCCAAAACAGCCCAAAAACACCCAAATACACCCCCAAAACACCCAAAAACACCCCCAAATCACCAAAAACTACCCAAAATTCCCCAAAATCACCCAAAATTACCCCAAACCACCCCAAACCACCCAAAACGACCCAAAATGACCCAAAACCCCCCAAAATGACCCAAATTCACCCCAAAAAAAACAAAATCACCCAAAATCACCCAAAACCCCCAAAATGACCCAAAATGAACCAAATTCACCCCAAATTCCCCAGTGCAGGGACCTGACCCAAAATGACCCAAATTCACCCCAAATTGCGCAGGGCAGGGACCTGACCAAGCGCAAGCAGGTGCACGAGGGACCCCAAAATGCCCCAAAACCCCCAAAATCTCCCAAAATGACCCAAAATGCCCCAAAATGACCTCAAAATCACCCAAAATGACCCAAAATGACCCAAAATCACCCAAAATGACCCAAAACCACCCAAAATGACCCAAAATAACCCAAATTCACCCCAAATTGTGCAGTGCAGGGACCTGACCAAGCGCACGCTGGTGCACGAGGGGCCCCTGAGCTGGCGCCTGAGCAGGGACAAGGCCGTGGGTGAGCATTTTTGGGGCAAAATCCGGTGGTTTTGGGGCACTTTGGGGCAGTTTCGGGGGTTTTGGGCATTTTGGGGTATTTTGGGGCATTTTGGGTAGTTTAGGGTGGTTTTGGGCCATTTTGGGGCATTTGGGTGGTTTGGGGACATTTCGGGTGGGTTTTGGGGCATTTTGGGTGGTTTTGGGGCCTTTTGGGTGGTTTTGGGTATTTTGGGGCATTTTGGGTGGTTTTGGGGCATGTTGGGTGGTTTTGGGTGGGGTTGGCTGGGTTTGGGTCATTTTAGGGCATTTCAGGTGCTTTTGCGTGGTTTGGGGGCATTTTTGGTGGTTTTGGGACATTTTGGGTGGTTTGGAGGCATTTTGGGGCATTTTGGGCATTTCAGGTGGGTTTTGGGGCATTTTGGGGTGGTTTGGAGGCATTTTGGGGCATTTGGGGCATTTCAGGTGGGTTTTGGGGCATTTGGGGGGGTTTGGGGCATTTAGGGTGGTTTTGGGTCATTTTGGGTGGTTTTGGGTGGGGTTGGGTGGGTTTGGGTCATTTTAGGGCATTTCAGGTGCTTTTGGGTGGTTTGAGGGCATTTTGGGTGGTTTTGGGGCATTTTGGGTGGTTTTGGGGCATTTTGGGGGTGGTTTTGGGGCATTTTGAGGGGTTTTGGGTCATTTTGGGTGGTTTTGGGGCATTTCGGGTGGGTTTGGGTCATTTTAGGGCATTTCAGGTTCTTTTGGGTGGTTTGAGGGGATTTTGGTGGGTTTTGGGGCATTTTGGGTGGTTTTGGGGGGATTTTGGGTCATTTTGGGTGGGTTTGGGTCATTTTAGGGCATTTCAGGTTCTTTTGGGTGGTTTGGGGGTATTTTGGTGATTTTAGGGCATTTCGGGTGGTTTTGGGGCATGTTGGGTGGTCTTGGGTGGGGTTGGGTGGGTTTGGGTCATTTTAGGGCATTTCAGGTGCTTTTGGGTGGTTTGAGGGGATTTTGGGTGGTTTTGGGGCATTTTGGGTGGTTTGGAGGCATTTTGGGGCATTTTGGGCATTTCAGGTGGGTTTTGGGGCATTTGGGGTTTGGGGCATTTTGGGGTGGTTTGGGGGCATTTTGGGTGGTTTTGGGGCATATTGGGTGGTTTTGGGTTGTTTTGGGGCATTTTGGGTGGTTTTGGGTGGGGTTGGGTGGGTTTGGGTCATTTTGGGGTTTTTGCATTTTTGGTGCTTTTGGGTGGTTTTTTGGGTTTTAACCCGTTTTTTCAGGTGGTTTGGGCCCATTTTGGGTGGTTTTGGGTGCTTTGCAGCACCAGGTGGGTTTGGGCTCATTTTGGGGGGGTTTTAGCTCATTTTGTTGTGTTTTAGCTCATTTTAGGGTGTTTTTAGCTCATTTTAGGGTGTTTTAGCTCATTTTTGGGTGTTTTTTTCTCATTTTCGGGGTGTTTTAGCTCATTTTGGGGTGTTTTTGGCTCATTTTCGGGGTGTTTTAGCTTACTTTAGGGTGTTTTAGCTCATTTTGGGGTGTTTTAGCACATGTTGGGTTGATTTAGCTCATTTTAGTGTGTATTTAGCTCATTTTGGGGTGTTTTAGGTTTGGGTCATTTTAAGGTGTTTTTGGGGCATTTTGGGGGGGCATGGGTTTAGGGGCATTTTGGGTGGTTTTGGGTCATTTTGGGTGTTTTTAGCTCATTTTGAGGTATTTTAGCTCATTTTAGGGTGTTTTGGGGTAATTTTTGGGGTGTTTTAGCTTATTTTGGGGTGTTTTAGCTTACTTTATGGTGTTTTAGCTCATTTTGGGGTGTTTTATCCCATTTTCGGGGTGTTTTAACCCATTTTTGGGGTGTTTTAGCTCATTTTTGGGGGGTTTTAGCTCATTCTGACCCATTTTTGGGCCGTTTTCGCTCATTTGGGGGCCGTTTTTGTTCATTTTTTGACCGTTTCCGCTCATTTTTTGCTGTTTCATCTCATTTTTTTCCCGTTTTTGGGTTGTTTCACCCCATTTTCACTCTCCAATGGCAGAGGTGCCGGTGCTGCTGCTCGACGACCTCCTGCTCATTTCGGGGCCGTTCTCGCTCATTTCTGGGCCGTTTTCGCTCATTTTTGGACCGTTTTAACCCGTTTTTTCCCGTTTTTTCCCATTTCGGCCCCAATTTGGGGTGCAGAGGTGCAGGTGCTGCTGCTCGACGACCTCCTGGTGCTGCTGCAGCGCCAGGACGAGCGCTTCCTCCTGCTCATTTTGGGGTGGTTTAGCTCATTTTGGGGTGTTTTAGCTCATTTTAGGGTGTTTTTAGCTCATTTTAGGGTGTTTTAGCTCATTTTAGGGTGTTTTAGCTCATTTTGGGGTGTTTTAGCTCATTTTGGGGTGTTTTAGCTCATTTTGGGGTGTTTTAGCACATGTTGGGTTGATTTAGCTCATTTTAGTGTGTTTTTGGCTCATTATAGGGTGTTTTAGCTCATTTTAGAGTGTTTTTGGCTCATTTTCGGGGTGTTTTTGGCTCGTTTTGGGGTCATTTTTGGGGTGTTTTAGCTTACTTTAGGGTGTTTTAGCTCATTTTGGGGTGTTTTAGCTCATTTTGGGGTGTTTTATCCCATTTTCGGGGTGTTTTAACCCATTTTTGGGGTGTTTTAGCTCATTTTTGGGGTGTTTTAGCTCGTTCTGACCCATTTTTGGGCCGTTTTCGCTCATTTGGGGGCCGTTTTTGTTCATTTTTTGACCGTTTCCGCTCATTTTTTGCCGTTTCATCTCATTTTTTGCCCGTTTTTGCCCATTTTCACCCCATTTTCGCTCTCCAATGGCAGAGGTGCTGGCGCTGCTGCTCGACGACCTCCTGCTCATTTCGGGGCCGTTCTCGCTCATTTCTGGGCCGTTTTCGCTCATTTTTGGACCGTTTTAACCCATTTTTTCCCGTTTTTTCCCGTTTTCACCCCAATTTTGGGTGCAGAGGTGCAGGTGCTGCTGCTCGACGACCTCCTGGTGCTGCTGCAGCGCCAGGACGAGCGCTTCCTCCTGCTCATTTTGGGGTGTTTTAGCTCATTTTGGGGTGTTTTAGCTCATTTTAGGGTGTTTTAGCTCATTTTTGGTGTGTTTTAGCTCATTTTGGGGTGTTTTTAGCTTATTTTGGGGTATTTTCGCTCATTTGGGTTGTTTTAGCTCATTTTAGGGGGTTTTAGCTCATTTTGGGGTGTTTTAGCTCATTTTAGGGTGTTTTCGCTCATTTTAGGGTGTTTTAGCTTACTTTAGGTTTTAGCTCATTTTGGGATGTTTTAGCACATTTTGGGTTGATTTAGCTCATTTTAGCGTGTTTTTAGCTCAATTTGGCCTTTTTTAGCTCATTTTGGGGTATTTTCGCTCATTTTGGGGTGCTTTAGCTCATTTTGGGGTGTTTTAGCTCATTTTGGGGGGGGTTAGCTCATTTTGGGGTGTTCTAGCTCATTTTTGGGGTGTTTTAGCTCGTTCTGACCCATTTTTGGGCCGTTTTCGCTCAATTTTGTGCCGTTTTCGCTCAATTTTGGGTCGTTTTTGCTCATTTTTGTGCCATTTTCACTCATTTTTTGCCGTTTCTTCTCATTTTTTGCCCGTTTTTGGGTTGTTTCACCCCATTTTGGCTCTGTCCCCCCCAGAGGTGCCGGTGCCGCTGCTCGACGACCTCCTGCTCATTTTGGGGCCGTTCTCGCTCATTTCTGGGCCGTTTTCACTCATTTTTGGACCGTTTTAACCCATTTTTTGACCATTTTTGCTCATTTTTGGACCATTTTTGCTCATTTTTGGACCGTTTTAACCCATTTTTTCCCGTTTTTTCCCGTTTTCACCCCATTTTGGCTCTGTCCCCCCCAGAGGTGCCGGTGCTGCTGCTCGAGGACCTCCTGCTCATTTCGGGGCCGTTCTCGCTCATTTCTGGGCCGTTTTCGCTCATTTTTGGACCGTTTTTTCCCGTTTTTTCCCGTTTTCACCCCAATTTGGGGTGCAGAGGTGCAGGTGCTGCTGCTCGACGACCTCCTGGTGCTGCTGCAGCGCCAGGACGAGCGCTTCCTCCTGCGCTGCCACAGCCGGAGCCTGGCGCCGGCCCCCGACGGGAAGCGGCTGCTGAGCCCCGTTCTGCGCCTGCGCGCGGCCATGACGCGCCTCGTGGCCACCGGTAGGGGGCGCTACAACAGCGGGGGCGTCGCAGCCAATGGGGAGCGAGGGGAGGGGCTTGGGGGGGGCGGGGGGGGATTTGGGGTTAAAAAAGGGGGGTTTGGGGGGAAAAAGGGTGATTTTGGGTAAAAACGGGGGAGTGGGGTAAAAAATGGTGGTTTTGGGTAAAAGAGGGGGGTAAAAAGGGGGTTTTGGGTAAAAAAGGGGGGTTTTGGGGGGAAAAATGGTGATTTTGGGTGAAAACGGGGGAGTGGGGTAAAAAATGGGGGTTTTGGGGGAAAAAAGGGGGGTTTTGGGTAAAAAGGGGGGTTTGGGGGAAAAATGGTGATTTTGGGTAAAAAGGAGGGGGTTTGGGGGGAAAAATGGTGATTTGGGGTAAAAAAGGGGGGTTTTGGGTAAAAAGGGGGGTTTTGGGGGAAAAAGTGGGATTTGGAGGGAAAATGGTGATTTTGGGTAAAAAGGGGGGGTTTCGGGGGAAAAATGGTGATTTGAGGTAAAAAAGGGGGGGTTTGGGTAAAAAGGGGGGTTTGGGGGGAAAAATGGTGATTTTGGGTAAAAAAGAAGGGGCTTGGGGGGAAAAATGGTGATTTGGGGTAAAACGGGGGTAAAAAGGGGGGGGTTTGGGTAAAAAAGGGGGGGTTTGGGGGAAAAAATGGTGATTTTGGGTAAAAAAGGGGGAGAGGGGTAAAAAATGGTGGTTTTGGGTAAAAAAAGGGGGTAAAAAGGGGGGTTTTTGGGGAAAAAGTGGGATTTGGGGGGAAAAATGGTGATTTTGGGTAAAAAAAGAGGAGGTTGGTGAAAAATGGTAATTTTGGGTAAAAATGGGGGGGTTGGGGGGAAAAATGGTGATTTTGGGTAAAAATGGGGGAGAGGGGTAAAAAATGGTGGGTTTGGGTAAAAAAGGGGGTAAAAAGGGGGGTTTTGGGTAAAAAGGGGGGTTTTGGGGGAAAAAGTGGGATTTGGGGGGAAAAATGGTGATTTGGGGTAAAAAAGGGGGGTTTTGGGTAAAAAGGGGGGTTTGGGGGGAAAAATGGTGATTTTGGGTAAAAAGGAGGGGGTTTGGGGGAAAAATGGTGATTTTGGGTAAAAAAGGGGGGGTTGGGGTAAAAAATGGTGATTTTGGGTGAAAAGGGGGTTTGGGGGGAAAAATGGTGATTTTTGGGTAAAAAGGGGGGTAAAAAAGGGGGGTTTTGGGCAAAAAAGGGGGGTTTTGTGGGAAAAAATGGTGATTTTGGGTAAAAAAGGGGGGTTTTGGGCAAAAAAGGGGGGTTTTGGGGGAAAAATGGTGATTTGGGGTAAAAAAGGGGGGTTGGGGGAAAAAAATGGTGATTTGAGGTAAAAAGTGGGATTTTGGGGGCAAAAATGGTGATTTTGGGTAAAAAAGGGGGGTTTGGGGGGAAAAATGGTGATTTTGGGTAAAAAAGGGGGAGAGGGGTAAAAAATGGTGGTTTTGGGTAAAAAAAGGGGGTAAAAAGGGGGGTTTTGGGGGAAAAAGTGGGATTTGGGGGGAAAAATGGTGATTTGGGGTAAAAAAGGGGTGCTTTTTAGGGAAAAATGGTGATTTTGTGTAAAGAGGGGAGGTTTAGAGGGAAAAATGGTGATTTTGGGTAAAAAAGGGGGTTTGGGGTAAAAAATGGTGATTTTGGGTGAAAAGGGGGGTAAAAAAGGGGGTTTTTGGCTAAAAAGGGGTGTTTTCAGGGAAAAAAATGGTGATTTGGAGTAATAAAGGGGGGGTTGGGGGGAAAAATTGATGATTTTGTGTAAAAAAGGCGGGGAGTGGGGTAAAAAATGGTGATTTTGGGTGAAAAGGGGGTAAAAAGGGGGGTTTCGGGTAAAAAAGGGGGGTTTTGGGGGAAAAATGGTGATTTGGGGTAAAAACGGGGGGGTGGGGAAAAAAGGGGGTTTTGGGTAAAAAGGGGGGTTTGCAGAAAAAAGGTGATTTTGGGTAAAAAAGGGGAGGTTTTGGGGAAAAATGGTGATTTGGGGTAAAAATGGGGGGTTTTGGGGGAAAAAATGGAGATTTTGGGTAAAAAGGGAGTTTTGGGGTAAAAAAATGGTGATTTGGGGTAAAAAGGGGGGTAAAAAAGGGGGCTTTGGGGAAAAAGGTTTTTTTTGGGGAAAAAGGGGGGGTGGGGGAAAAAATTGATGATTTTGGGTAAAAAAGTGGGGTTTGGGGGAAAAAATGGTGATTTTGGGTAAAAAGGGGGGGTTTCGGGGGAAAAATGGTGATTTGAGGTAAAAAAGGGGGGGGTTTGGGTAAAAAGGGGGGTTTGCAGAAAAAAAGGTGATTTTGGGTAAAAAAGGGGGGTTTGGGGGAAAAAATGGTGATTTTGGGTAAAAATGGGTTTGGGGTAAAAATTGGTGATTTTGGGTAAAAAGGTGATTTGGGATAAAAATTGGTTATTTGGGGTTAAAAGGGGGGTTGGGGTAAAAAATGGTGATTTTGGGTAAAAAAGGGGGGTTTGGGGGTAAAAAGAGGGGTTTGGGGTAAAAAGGGTTATTTTTGGTAAAAAGGGGTGTTTTGGGGAGAAAATTGGTTATTTTGGGTAAAAAGGTGGTTTTGGGGTGAAAAGGGGGGGTTTGGGGTAAAAATTGGTTATTTTGGATAAAAAGTCAATTTTGGAGTAGAAGGAGTGGTTTTGGGGTAAAATCGGTTATTTTGGGGAAAAATGGGCGATTTGGGGTAAAAATGATGATTTTGGGGATCAAAAAGGGTGATTTGGGTCAAGAAGGGTGATTTTGGGGTGAAAAATTGTGATTTGGGGTAAAAATGGTGATTTGGGGGTAAAATGGGTGATTTTGGGGGTGAAAACCAGCGATTTAGCGTAAAAAGGGTGATTTTGGGGTGAAAACCGGCGATTTGGGGTAAAAATGGTGATTTGGGGTTAAAAAGGGCGATTTTGGGGTGAAAAATAGGGATTTTGGGGTGAAAAAGCGATTTTGGGTAAAAATGGTGATTTTGGGGTGAAAGAATTTTTGGGTGCAAAGGGGTTTTGGGGTAAAAAAAGGGGATTTTGGGTGCAAAGGGGATTTTTGGGGTAAAAAAGGGGGATTTTGGGTGCAAAGGGGATTTTGGGTAAAAAAGGGGGATTTTGGGTGCAAAGGGGATTTTTGGGGTAAAAAAGGGGTTTTTGGGTGCAACGGGGTTTTGGGGTAAGAAAAGGGGATTTTGGGTAAAAAAGGGATTTTGAGTGCAAAGGGGATTTGGGGGTAAGAAAAGGGCATTTTGGGGTAAAAAAGGGGGATTTGGGGTAAAAAAGAGGGATTTTGGGTGCAAAGGGGGTTTTGGGGCAAAAAAGGGGGATTTTGGGTAAAAAAGGGATTTTGGGTTTTTGGGGTAAAAAAGAGGGATTTGGGGGTAAAAAAGGGGGATTTGGGGGTAAAAAAGGGGATTTTGGGTAAAAAAGAGGGATTTGGGGTGCAAAGGGGATTTGGGGTAAAAAAGAGGGATTTTGGGGGTAAAAAAAGGGGATTTTGGGTGCAAAGGGGTTTTGGGGTAAAAAAAGGGGATTTTGGGTGCAAAGGGGATTTTTGGGGTAAAAAAGGGGGATTTTGGGTGCAAAGGGGTTTTGGGCTAAAAAAAGGGGATTTTGGGTAAAAAAGAGGGGATTTTGGGTGCAAAGGGGATTTTTGGGGTAAAAAAGGGGATTTTGGGTGCAAAGGGGGTTTTGGGGTTAAAAAAGGGGATTTTGGGTGCAAAGTGGTTTTGGGGTAAAATAGGGGGATTTTGGGTGCAAAGGGGATTTTGGGGGTAAAAAAGAGGGATTTTGGGTGCAAAGGGGGGTTTGGGGTAAAAAAAAGGGAGTTTGGGTGCAAAGGGGATTTTTGGGGCAAAAAAAGGGGATTTTGGGTGCAAAGGGGATTTTGGGGTAAAAAAGGGGATTTTGGGTGCAAAGGGGATTTTGGGTGCAAAGGGGATTTTTGGGGTAAAAAAGGGGATTTTGGGTGCAAAGGGGATTTTTGGGGTAAAAAAGGGGGATTTTGGGTGCAAAGGGGATTTTTGGGGTAAAAAAGGGGATTTTGGGTGCAAAGGGTTTTTTGGGGTAAAAAAAGGGGATTTTGGGTGTAAAGGGGATTTTTGGGGTAAAAAAGGGGGATTTTGGGTGCAAAGGGGATTTTTGGGGTAAAAAAGGGGGATTTTGGGTGCAAAGGGGTTTTGGGGTAAAAAAGAGGGATTTTGGGTGCAAAGGGGATTTTTGGGGTAAAAAAAGGGGATTTTGGGTGCAAAGGGGTTTTGGGCTAAAAAAAGGGGATTTTTGGGTAAAAAAGAGGGAGTTGGGGTGCAAAGGGGATTTGGGGTAAAAAAGAGGGATTTTGGGGGTAAAAAAAGGGGATTTTGGGTGCAAAGGGGATTTTTGGGGTAAAAAAAGGGGATTTTGGGTGCAAAGGGGATTTTGGGGGTAAAAAAAGGGGATTTTGGGTGCAAAGGGGATTTTTGGGGTAAAAAAGGGGATTTTGGGTGGGGTAAAAAAGGGGATTTTGGGTGCAAAGGGGATTTTGGGGTAAAAAAAGGGGATTTTGGGTAAAAAAAGGGGATTTTGGGTGCAAAGGGGATTTTTGGGGTAAAAAAAGGGGATTTTGGGTGCAAAAAAAAAAGGGGATTTTAAAAAGGGATTTTGGGTGCAAAGGGTGTAAAAAAGGGGGATTTTGGGTGCAAAGGGGATTTTTGTGGTAAAAAAAGGGGATTTTGGGTGCAAAGGGGATTTTGGGTAAAAAAAAGAGCGATTTTGGGTGCAAAGGGGATTTTTGGGGTAAAAAAGTGGGATTTTGGGGTAAAAAAAGGGGATTCTGGGTGCAAAGGGTTTTTTGGGGTAAAAAAAGGGGATTTTGGGTGCAAAGGGGATTTTTGGGGTAAAAAAGGGGATTTTGGGTGCAAAGGGAATTTTGGGGGTAAAAGGGGATTTTGGGTGGGGTAAAAAAAGGGGATTTTGGGTGCAAAGGGGATTTTGGGGTAAAAAAAGGGGATTTTGGGTGCAAAGGGGATTTTGGGGTAAAAAAAGGGGATTTTGGGTGCAAAGGGGATTTTGGGGTAAAAAAAGGGGATTTTGGGTAAAAAAGGGGGATTTTGGGGTAAAAAAAGGGGATTTTGGGTGCAAAGGGGCTTTGGGGTAAAAAAAGGGGATTTTGGGGTAAAAACGGGATTTTGGGGTAAAAACGGGATTTTGGGGTAAAAAAAGGGGATTTTGGGTGCAAAGGGGTTTTGGGGTAAAAAAAAGGGATTTGGGGGTAAAAAAGGGGGATTTTGGGTGCAAAGGGGATTTTGGGGGTAAAAAAAGGGGATTTTGATTTTGGGTAAAAAAGGGGATTTTGGGTGCAAAGGAGATTTTTGGGGTAAAAAAAGGGATTTTGGGTGCAAAGGGGATTTTTGGGGTAAAAAAAGGGGATTTTGGGTAAAAAAGACGGATTTTGGGTGCAAAGGGGATTTTGGGGTAAAAAAAGAGGATTTTGGGTGCAAAGGGGATTTTGGGGTAAAAAAGGGGATTTTGGGTGCAAAGGGGATTTTTGGGGTAAAAAAGGGGTTTTTGGGTGCAACGGGGTTTTGGGGTAAGAAAAGGGGATTTTGGGTAAAAAAGGGATTTTGGGTGCAAAGGGGATTTCGGGTTAAAAAAGAGGGGAAAGGGGATTTTGGGTAAAAAAGGGGGATTTTGGGGTAAAAAAAGGGGATTTAGGGTAAAAAAGAGGGATTTGGGGTGCAAAGGGGATTTGGGGTAAAAAAGGGGATTTTGGGTGGGAAAAAGGGGATTTTGGGTGGAAAAAGGGGATTTTGGGTGGAAAAAAGGGGATTTTGGGTAGAAAAAAGGGGGATTTTGGGTGGAAAAAAGGGGGATTTTGGGTGGAAAAAGGGGATTTTGGGTGCAAAGGGGTTTTGGGGTAAAAAAGGGGGATTTTGGGTGCAAAGGGGATTTTGGGGTAAAAAAAGGGGATTTTGGGTGCAAAGGGGATTTTTGGGGTAAAAAAGGGGGATTTTGGGTGCAAAGGGGATTTTGGGGTAAAAAAGTGGTAAAAAAGGGGGATTTTGGGTGCAAAGGGGATTTTTGGGGTAAAAAAAGGGGATTTTGGGTGCAAAGGGGGTTTTGGGGTAAAAAAGGGGGATTTTGGGTAAAAAAGGGATTTTGGGTGCAAAGGGGGTTTTGGGGTAAAAAAGAGGGATTTTGGGTGCAAAGGGGATTTTTGGGGTAAAAAAGGGGATTTTGGGTGCAAAGGGGATTTTTGGGGTAAAAAAAGGGGATTTTGGGTGCAAAGGGGTTTTGGGGTAAAAAAAGGGGATTTTGGGTAAAAAAGGGATTTTGGGTGCAAAGGGGATTTTTGGGGTAAAAAAAGGGGATTTTGGGTAAAAAAGGGATTTTGAGTGCAAAGGGGATTTGGGGGTAAGAAAAGGGCATTTAGTGGTAAAAAAGGGGGATTTGGGGTAAAAAAGAGGGATTTTGTGTGCAAAAGGGGTTTTGGGGTAAAAAAGTGGGATTTTGGGGTAAAAAAGGGGGATTTTGGGTGCAAAGGGTTTTTTGGGGTAAAAAAAGGGGATTTTGGATGCAAAGTGGTTTTGGGGTAAGAAAAGGGGATTTTGGGTAAAAAAGGGATTTTGGGTGCAAAGGGGATTTTGGGGGTAAAAAAGGGGGATTTTGGGGTGAAAAAAGGCGATTTTGGGTGCAAAGGGGATTTTTGGGGTAAAAAAGGGGGATTTTGGGTGCAAAGGAGATTTTTGGGGTAAAAAAAGGGATTTTGGGTGCAAAGGGTATTTTGGGGTAAAAAAAGGGATTTTTGGTAAAAAAGGGGGATTTTGGGTGCAAAGGGGTTTTGGGGTAAAAAAAGGGATTTTTGGTAAAAAAGGGGGATTTTTGGTGCAAAGGCGATTTTGGAGTAAAAAAGGGGGTTTTGGGGTAAAAAAGAGGGATTTTGGGTGCAAAGGGGGTTTTGGGGTAAAAAAGGGGGATTTTGGGTCCTAAGGGGGTTTTTGGGGTAAAAAAAGGGGATTTTGGTTAAAAAAGAGGGATTTTGGGGTAAAAAAGGGGGGTTTGGGGTAAAAAAGAGGGATTTGGGGTAAAAAAGACGGATTTGGGGTAAAAAAGAGGGATTTTGGGGGTAAAAAAAGGGGATTTTGGGGTAAAAAAGGGGATTTTGGGGTAAAAAAGGGGATTTTGGGTGCACATGGGATTTTGGGGGTAAAAAAGGGATTTTTGGTGCAAAGGGTTTTTGGGGGTAAAAAAAGGGGATTTTGGGTGCAAAGGGGATTTTGGATTTAAAAAGGGGGATTTTGGGTAAAAAAGAAGGATTTTGGGTGCAAAGGGGGTTTTGGGTTAAAAAAGAGGGATTTTGGGTGCAAAGGGTTTTTTGGGGTAAAAAAGGGGATTTTTGGGGTAAAAAAGGGGGATTTTGGGTGCAAAGGGGTTTTGGGGTAAAAAAAGGGGATTTTGGGTGCAAAGGGGATTTTTGGGGTAAAAAAGGGGATTTTGGGTGCAATGGGGATTTTTGGGGTAAAAAAAAGGGGATTTTGGGTGCAAAGCGGATTTTGGAGTAAAAAAAGGGGTTTTGGGGCAAAAAAGAGGGATTTTGGGTGCAAAGGGGTTTTGGGGGTAAAAAAAGGGGATTTTGGGTAAAAAAAGGGATTTTGGGTGCAAAGGGGATTTGGGGGTAAGAAAAGGGGATTTTGGGTAAAAAAGAGGGATTTTGTGTGCAAAAGGGATTTTGGGGTAAAAAAGGGCATTTTGGGGTAAAAAATGGGGATTTGGGGTAAAAAAGAGCGATTTTGGGTGCAAAGGGTTTTTTGGGGTAAAAAAAGGGGATTTTGGGTGTAAAGGGGATTTTGGGGGTAAAAAAGGGGGATTTTGGGTGCAAAGGAGATTTTTGGAGTAAAAAAGGGGTTTTTGGGTGCAAAGGGGATTTGGGGTAAAAAAAGGGGATTTTGGGTAAAAAAGAGGGATTTTGGGTGCAAAGGGGGTTTCGGGTTAAAAAAGAGGAATTTTGGGTGCAAAGGGTTTTTTGGGGTAAAAAAAGGGGATTTTGGGTAAAAAAAGAGGGATTTTGGGTGCAAAGGGGATTTTGGGCGTAAAAAAAGGGGATTTTGGGTGCAAAGGGGATTTTGGGTAAAAAAGAGGGATTTTGGGTGCAAAGGGGATTTTTTGGGGCAAAAAAAGGGGATTTTGGGTGCAAAGGGGATTTTGGGGTAAAAAAAGGGGATTTTGGGTGCAAAGGGGATTTTGGGGGCAAAAAAAGGGGATTTTGGGTAAAAAAGGGGGATTTTGGGTGAAAAAGCGATTTTGGGTAAAAATGGTGATTTTGGGGTGAAAGAATTGGTGATTTTGGGTAAAAAAGGCGATTTTGGGGTAAAAAGGGTGATTTTGGGGTGAAAAAGGGTGATTTTGGGGTGAAAAAGGGTGATTTTGGGGTGAAAAGGGTGATTTTGGGGTGAAAAAGGGTGATTTTGGGGTGCCAAAGGGTGATTTTGGGGTGAAAAAGGGCGATTTTGGGGTGAAAAAGGGTGATTTTGGGGTGAAAAAGGGTGCTTTTAGGGAGCCAAAGGCTGATTTTGGGGTGATAATGACGATTTTGGGGTGAAAAATGGCGCTTTTGGGGTGCCGAAGGCTGAATTTGGGGTGATAATGACGATTTTGGGGTGAAAAAGGACGATTTTGGGGTGAAAAGGGTGAATTTGGGGTGAAAAAAGGTGATTTTGGGGTGCCGAAGGCTGAATTTGGGGTGAAAAAGGCTGATTTTGGGGTGAAAAAGGACGATTTTGGGGTGAAAAAGGCTGATTTTGGGGTGAAAAAGGACGATTTTGGCGTGCCAAATGTTGATTTTGGGGTGAAAAGGGTGACTTTGGGGTGAAAAAGGTGATTTTGGGGTGATAATGATGATTTTGGAGTGCCAAAGGCTGATTTTGGGGTGAAAAAGGACGATTTTGGGGTGAAAAGGGTGATTTTGGGGTAAAAAAGGGGGATTTTGGGGTGAAAAAGGCTGATTGTGAGGTGCCAAAGGCTGATTTTGGGGTGAAAAAAGGCGACTTGGGGATGGAAAGGCTGATTTTGGGGTGAAAAAAAGGTGATTTTGGGGTGAAAGAGGTGATTTTGGGGTGAAAAGGGTGATTTTGGGGTGAAAAAAGGCGATTTTGGAGTGCCAAAGTCTGATTTTGGGGTGAAAAAGGTGATTTTGAGGTGCCAAAGGCTGATTTTGGGGTGAAAAGGGTGATTTTGGGGTGAAAAAGGACGATTTTAGGGTGAAAAATGGCGATTTTGGGGTGCGAAAGGCTGATTTTGGGGTGATAATGACAATTTTGGGGTGAAAAAGGACGATTTTGGGGTGCCGAAGGCTGATTTTGGGGTGAAAAATGGTGATTTTGGGGTGCCAAAGGCTGATTTTGCCCCTTTTTTGCCCCCCAGACCCCAAGGCCTTTTACGTCATCATCAGCTGGGACAATGGGGCCCAGATCTACGAGCTGGGGGCCCAGACGGTGGCCGAGAGGAAGAAGTGGGGCTGGGGGGGGCCCATTGGGGTCTATGGGGGTCCCATTGTGCCCTATGGGGGTCCCATTGTTCCCTATGGGGGTCCCATTGTGCCCTATGGGGCTCCATTGCTCCTTATGGGGGTCCCATTGTGTCCTATGGGGGTCCCATTGTGCCCTATGGGGGTCCCATTGTGCCCTATGGGGGTCCCATTGTTCCCTATGGGGGTCCCATTGTGCCCTATGGGGGTCCCATTGCGCCCTATGGGGGTCCCATTGTTCCCTATGGGGGTCCCATTGTGTCCTATGGGGGTCCCATTGCTCCCTATGGGGGTCCCATTGTTCCCTATGGGGGTCCCATTGCTCCCTATGGGGGTCCCATTGTTCCCTATGGGGGTCCCATTGTTCCCTATGGGGGTCCCATTGCTCCCTATGGGGGTCCCATTGTTCCCTATGGGGGTCCCATTGCTCCCTATGGGGGTCCCATTGTCCCCTATGGGGCTCCATTGTTCCCTATGGGGGTCCCATTGTTCCCTATGGGGGTCCCATTGTTCCCTATGGGGGTCCCATTGTTCCCTATGGGGGTCCCATTGTTCCCTATGGGGGTCCCATTGTTCCCTATGGGGTCCCATTGTTCTCTATGGGGGTCTGCCCCTCCCCCAGCTGGTGTGACCTCATCAATGAAACCGCCGGAGCCCTCCCCCTCCCGGGGACCCCCCGTGGGAAAGGGGGGAGGGGCGGGGCCCCGCCCCCCACCCCCCTCGAGTGAGTTTGGGGGGGGGGGGAGGGGGGGAAGGGGGGGATTTGGGGGTAAAAAAAGGGGATTTTGGGGTAAAAAAGGGATTTTGGGTAAAAAAGGGGGATTTTGGGTGCAAAGGGGGTTTTGGGGTAAAAAAGGGGGATTTGGGGGTAAAAAAGGGGATTTTGGGGGTAAAAAAAGGGGATTTTGGGTGTAAAAGGGTTTTGGGGTAGAAAAAGGGAATTTTGGGTAAAAAAGAGGGATTTTGTGTGCAAAGGGGGTTTTGGGTTAAAAAAGGGATTTTGGGTGCAAAGGGGATTTTGGGGTAAAAAAGAGGGATTTTGGCTAAAAAAAGGGGGATTTTGAGTGCAAGGGTTTTTTTTGGTAAAGAAAGGGGGTTTTGGGGTAAAAAAAAAGGGATTTTGGGGTAAAAGGGGATTTTTGGGTGCAAAGGGGGTTTTGGGGTAAAAGGGGGGATTTGGGGTAAAAAAGGGGGATTTGGGGTGCAAAGGGATTTTGGGGTAAAAAAGGGGATTTTGGGTAAAAAAGAGGGAATTTGGGTGCAAAAGGGATTTTTGGGGTAAAAAAAAGGGGATTTGGGGTAAAAAAGAGGGATTTTGGGTGCAAAGGGGATTTTAGGGTAAAAAAAGGGGATTTTGGGTGCAAAGGGGATTTTGGGGTAAAAAAGGGGGATTTTGGGTGCAAAGGGGGATTTGGGGGTAAAAAAAGGGGGATTTGGGGCAAAGGGGTTTTTGGGGTAAAAAAGAGGGATTTTGGGTGCAAAGGGGATTTTGGGGTAAAAAAAGGGGATTTTGGGTGCAAAGGGGATTTTGGGGTAAAAAAGAGGGATTTAGGGTGCAAAGGGGATTTTGGGGTAAAAAAAGGGGATTTTGGGTGCAAAGGGGATTTTTGGGGCAAAAAAAGGGGATTTTGGGTAAAAAAGGGGGATTTTGGGTGCAAAGGGATTTTGGGGTAAAAAAAAGGGGATTTGGGGTAAAAAAGAGGGATTTTGGGTGCAAAGGGGATTTTGGGGTAAAAAAGGGGGATTTTGGGTGCAAAGGGGATTTTGGGGGTAAAAAAAGGGGGTTTTGGGTGCAAAGGGGTTTTTGGGGTAAAAAAGAGGGATTTTGGGTGCAAAGGGGATTTTGGGGTAAAAAAAGGGGATTTTGGGTGCAAAGGGGATTTTTGGGGCAAAAAAAGGGGATTTTGGGTAAAAAAGGGGGATTTTGGGGTAAAAAAAAGGGGATTTGGGGTAAAAAAGAGGGATTTTTGGGGTAAAAAAAGGGGATTTTGGGGTTTTTGTTTTTTTTTTCTCTGACCCCCCCCCTTCCCCCACAGAGAGGAAGAGAACGGGGGGGGGGTGAAGGAGACGCTGGATGGTGAGTGGGGCTCTATGGGTCTCTATGGGTCTCTATGGGTCTCTATGGGTCTCTATGGGTCCCTATGGGTCTCTGTGGGGTCCCTATGGGTCTCTATGGGGTCCCTATGGGTCGCTATGGGTCTCCATGGGTCTCTATGGGTCTCTATGGGGTCTCTATGGGTCTCTATGGGTCTCTATGGGGTGTCTATGGGTCTCTATGGGTCTCTATGGGTCTCTATGGGTCTCTATGGGGTCTCTATGGGTCTCTATGGGTCTCTATGGGGTCTCTATGGGTCTCTATGGGGTCTCTATGGGTCTCTATGGGGCTCTATGGGGCTCTATGGGGTCTCTATGGGGCTCTATGGGGGTCTATGGGGCTCTATGGGGGCTCTATGGGGCTCTATGGGGTCTCTATGGGTCTCTGTGGGGTCCCTATGAGTCTCTATGGGTCTCTATGGGGTCTCTATGGGTCTCTATGGGTCTCTATGGGGTCCCTATGGGTCTCTATGGGTCTCTATGGGGTCTCTATGGGTCTCTATGGGGTCTCTATGGGTCCCTATGGGTCTCTATGGGTCTCTATGGGGTCTCTATGGGTCTCTATGGGGTCTCTATGGGTCTCTATGGGGTCTCTATGGGTCTCTATGGGTCTCTATGGGTCTCTATGGGGTCCCTATGGGTCTCTATGGGTCTCTATGGGGTCTCTATGGGTCTCTATGGGTCCCTATGGGTCCCTATGGGTCTCTATGGGTCTCTATGGGTCTCTATGGGTCCCTATGGGTCTCTATGGGTCTCTATGGGGTCTCTATGGGTCTCTATGGGTCTCTATGGGGTCCCTATGGGTCTCTATGGGTCTCTATGGGGTCTCTATGGGTCTCTATGGGTCTCTATGGGTCTCTATGGGTCCCTATGGGGTCTCTATGGGGTCTCTATGGGTCTCTATGGGTCTCTATGGGTCCCTATGGGTCTCTATGGGGTCTCTATGGGTCTCTATGGGTCTCTATGGGTCTCTATGGGTCTCTATGGGGTCTCTATGGGTCTCTATGGGGTCTCTATGGGTCTCTATGGGGTCTCTATGGGTCTCTATGGGTCTCTATGGGTCTCTCTGGGGTCCCTATGGGTCTCTATGGGTCTCTATGGGGTCTCTATGGGTCTCTATGGGTCCCTATGGGTCCCTATGGGTCTCTATGGGTCTCTATGGGTCTCTATGGGTCCCTATGGGGTCTCTATGGGGTCTCTATGGGTCTCTATGGGTCTCTATGGGTCCCTATGGGTCTCTATGGGGTCTCTATGGGTCTCTATGGGTCTCTATGGGTCCCTATGGGTCCCTATGGGTCTCTATGGGTCTCTATGGGGTCTCTATGGGTCTCTATGGGTCTCTATGGGTCTCTATGGGTCCCTATGGGTCTCTATGGGTCCCTATGGGTCTCTATGGGGTCTCTATGGGTCCCTATGGGTCTCTATGGGTCTCTATGGGGTCTCTATGGGTCCCTATGGGTCTCTATGGGTCTCTATGGGGTCTCTATGGGTCTCTATGGGGTCTCTATGGGGTCTCTATGGGTCTCTATGGGTCTCTATGGGTCTCTATGGGGTCTCTATGGGTCTCTATGGGTCCCTATGGGTCTCTATGGGTCTCTATGGGTCTCTGTGGGTCTCTATGGGTCTCTATGGGTCTCTATGGGTCTCTATGGGGTCTCTATGGGTCTCTATGGGTCTCTATGGGTCTCTATGGGGTCTCTATGGGTCTCTATGGGTCTCTATGGGTCTCTATGGGGTCTCTATGGGTCTCTATGGGTCCCTATGGGTCTCTATGGGTCTCTATGGGTCTCTATGGGGTCTCTATGGGTCTCTATGGGTCCCTATGGGTCTCTATGGGGTCTCTATGGGTCTCTATGGGTCCCTATGGGTCTCTATGGGGTCTCTATGGGTCTCTATGGGTCTCTATGGGGTCTCTATGGGTCTCTATGGGTCTCTATGGGTCTCTATGGGGTCTCTATGGGTCTCTATGGGTCTCTATGGGTCTCTATGGGGTCTCTATGGGTCTCTATGGGTCTCTATGGGTCTCTATGGGGTCTCTATGGGTCTCTATGGGTCCCTATGGGTCTCTATGGGTCTCTATGGGTCTCTATGGGGTCTCTATGGGTCTCTATGGGTCCCTATGGGTCTCTATGGGGTCTCTATGGGATCTCTATGGGTCCCTATGGGTCTCTATGGGGTCTCTATGGGTCTCTATGGGTCTCTATGGGGTCTCTATGGGTCTCTATGGGTCTCGATGGGGTCTCTATGGGTCTCTATGGGTCCCTATGGGTCTCTATGGGTCTCTATGGGTCCCTATGGGTCTCTATGGGTCTCTATGGGCTCTGCCCCCCAGAGGTGCCGGTGCTGGGCACTGCCCCCCCCTTGCCCGGGGAGGGGGGGCTGGCGGCCGCTGCGCTGCAGAGAGGTGAGAGCCCCAAAACCGCCTGAAACGGCCCCAAAACAGCCCCGGAACACAAAAAACAGCCAAAAACAGCCAAAATCACCCCAAAAACACCCAAAAACAGCCAAAATCACCCCAAAAACACCCAAAAACAGACAAAATCACCCAAAAAACACCCAAAAACAGCCAAAAACATCCCAAAACACCCAAAATCACCCCAGATCACCCCAAAACAGCCCCGGAACACCAAAAACAGCCAAAAACACCCCAAAAACACACAAAAAACACCCAAAAACACCCAAAACCACCCAAAATCAGCCAAAAACACCAAAAAACACCCAAAATCACAAAAAAACACCCAAAATCACCCCCAAACACCCAAACAACACCCAAAATCACCCCAAATCACCCCAAAACAGCCCCGGAACACCCAAAACCACCCAAAATCACCCCAAATCAGCCCAAAATCACCCCAAACCACCCATAGCCCCCCAATATACCCCCCTATGTACCCCTAAATACCCCCTATATGCCCCCATATCCCCCCCATACCCCCCCATATCCCCCCATATCCCCCCCCATATCCCCCCCATATCCCCCCATAACCCCCCCATAGCCCCCCCATATCCCCCCATATCCCCCCCATATCCCCCCCATATCCCCCCCCATCCCCCCATATCCCCCCATATCCCCCCATATCCCCCCCACATCCCCCCCATATCCCCCCCCCATCCCCCCATATCCCCCCCATCCCCCCCCATATCTCCCCATATCCCCCCATATCCCCCCCATAACCCCCCCATACCCCCCATATCCCCCCCATATATCCACCCCATATCCCCCCCATCTCCCCCCATATCCCCCCCATATCCCCCCACACCCCCCATCCCCCCCATATCCCCCCCCATCCCCCCCCCACCCCCCCCATGTAACCCCTCCCCTCCCCCCCCCAGTGGCAGCTCTGAGGCGGCTCCTCCCCTCCCCCCTCCCCCCACCGCGGGACGAGACCGAGGCTCCCGATGGGGGAGGGGCAGGTACGGACCGGGGGGGGGGAGGGGGGGGATGGGCCCCTCCCCCTCCCCCATCGCTCATTGGCCCCCTCCCCTCCCCCCACTTAGGGGTCACGGAGCCCCCCCCCTATGCGGCCGGGGTGGGGGAGGAGCTGCGGGGCCTGGAGGAGGTGCTGCTGAGGCTGAAGGTGGGGCTGGGACCCATAAGTGTGGGGCAGGGACCCATAGAATGGGGCTGAGACCCATTAGTGTGGGGCTGGGACCCATAAGTGTGGGGCTGGGACCCATAAGTGTGGGGCTGGGACCCATAGAATGGGGCTGGGACCCATAAGTGTGGGGCTGGGACCCATAGAATGGGGCTGGGACCCATAAGTGTGGGGCTGGGACCCATAAGTGTGGGGCTGGGACCCATAGAATGGGGCTGGGACCCATAAGTGTGGGGCTGGGACCCATAGAATGGGGCTGGGACCCATTAGTGTGGGGCTGGGACCCATAAGTGTGGGGCTGGGACCCATAAGTGTGGGGCTGGGACCCATAAGTGTGGGGCTGGGACCCATAGAATGGGGCTGGGACCCATAAGTGTGGGGCTGGGACCCATAAGTGTGGGGCTGGGACCCATAGAATGGGGCTGGGACCCATAAGTGTGGGGCTGGGACCCATAAGTGTGGGGCTGAGACCCATAAACCCATAAGTGTGGGGCTGGGACCCATAAGTGTGGGGCTGGGACCCATAAGTGTGGGGCTGGGACCCATAGAATGGGGCTGGGACCCATAAGTGTGGGGCTGGGACCCATAGAATGGGGCTGAGACCCATAAGTGTGGGGCTGGGACCCATTAGTGTGGGGCTGGGACCCATAGAATGGGGCTGGGACCCATAAGTGTGGGGCTGGGACCCAGAGACAGGGGCTGGCACCCATAGAATGGGGCTGGGACCCGTATCTGTGGGGCTGGGACCCATAGAATGGGGCTGGGACCCATAGAATGGGGCTGGGAGAATGGGGGGCTGGGACCCATAGAAGTGGGGGCTGGGACCCATAAGAGAGGGGCTGGGACCCATAAGTGTGGGGCTGGGACCCAAAGAGAGGAGCTGGGACCCATAAGTGTGGGGCTGGGACCCAAAGAGAGGGGCTGGGACCCATAAGTGTGGGGCTGGGACCCAAAGAGAGGGGCTAGGACCCATAAGTGTGGGGCTGGGACCCATAAGTGTGGGGCTTGGACCCATAAGTGTGGGGCTGGGACCCAAAGAGAGGGGCTGAGACCCATAAGTGTGGGGCTGGGACCCATAGAATGGGGCTGGGACCCATAAGTGTGGGGCTGGGACCCAAAGAGAGGGGCTGGGACCCATAGAATGGGGCTGGGACCCATAAGTGTGGGGCTGGGACCCATAGAATGGGGCTGAGACCCATAGAATGGGGCTGGGACCCATTAGTGTGGGGCTGAGACCCATAAGTGTGGGGCTGGGACCCAAAGAGAGGGGCTGGGACCCATAAGTGTGGGGCTGGGACCCATAAGTGTGGGGCTGAGACCCATAAGTGTGGGGCTGAGACCCATAGAATGGGGCTTGGACCCATAAGTGTGGGGCTGGGACCCATAAGTGTGGGGCTGGGACCCATGGGGCTGGGACAGGGGGGCTGGGACCCATAGAATGGGGCTGGGACCCATAGAATGGGGCTGGGACCCATAGAATGGGGCTGGGACCCATAAGTGTGGGGCTGGGACCCATAAGTGTGGGGCTGGGACCCATAAGTGTGGGGCTGGGACCCATAAGTGTGGGGCTGGGACCCATAGAATGGGGCTGGGACCCATAAGTGTGGGGCTGGGACCCATAGAATGGGGCTGGGACCCATAAGTGTGGGGCTGGGACCCATAGAATGGGGCTGGGACCCATAAGTGTGGGGCTGGGACCCATAGAATGGGGCTGGGACCCATAAGTGTGGGGCTGGGACCCATAGAATGGGGCTGGGACCCATAAGTGTGGGGCTGGGACCCATAGAATGGGGCTGGGACCCATAGAATGGGGCTGGGACCCATAGAATGGGGCTGGGACCCATAAGTGTGGGGCTGGGACCCAAAGAGAGGGGCTGGGACCCATAAGTGTGGGGCTGGGACCCATAAGTGTGGGGCTGGGACCTGCTATGGGGCTGCCCATGACCCGCTATGGGGCTGCCCCACTGCTATGGGGCACGGCAGGAGCTGGAGGAGAGCTGGCAGCTCCAACAGGCCCTGGGCAAGCGCGGCCCCACAGGAGCCGGAGACACGTGAGGGGCAGGTAGGGGGCGCTATGGGGTCTCTATGGGGTCCCTATGGGTCTCTATGGGGTCTCTATGGGTCCCTATGGGTCTCTATGGGTCTCTATGGGGTCTCTATGGGTCCCTATGGGGTCTCTATGGGTCTCTATGGGGTCTCTATGGGTCTCTATGGGGTCTCTATGGGTCTCTATGGGGTCTATGGGGTCCCTATGGGGCTCTATGGGTCCCTGTGGGGTCTCTATGGGGCTGTATGGGGTCTCTATGGGTCTCTATGGGGTCTCTATGGGTCTCTATGGGTCTCTATGGGGTCCCTATGGGGCTCTATGGGTCCCTGTGGGGTCCCTATGGGTCTCTATGGGGTCTCTCTAGGGTCTCTACAGGGGCTCTATGGGTCCTTATGGGGCTCTATGGGGTCTCTGTGGGTCTCTATGGGGCTCTGTGGGGGCTCTACAGGGTCTCTATGGGGTCTCTATGGGTTCTCTATGGGTCTCTATGGGTCCCTATGGGGCTCTATGGGGTCCCTATGGATCTCTATGGGTCTCTATGGGTCCCTATGGGGCTCTATGGGTCTCTATGGGTCTCTATGGGTCTCTATGGGGTCCTTATGGGTCCCTATGGGGCTCTATGGGTCCCTATGGCCCCCATCCCCTCTCTCTCCCACCAGGACCCCCCTCCAATCGCAATGGTTCAGCCCCCCCCACGCTTGTGCCTTCTATAGGGCCCCCCCCCAATCTATGGGGCCCAGATCCCCCCCCCCAATCTATGGGGCAGCTTTGGGGGGGCCCCCCCCCCCACCCCATTTTGAATGGAAAACCCAAAGAATTGGGAAAAACCCCAATAAAAATGGATGCTTTTGCCCCATGGAGCCCCCATTTATGGGGCGACCCCGCCCTATATAATGGGTTCTGATTGGCTCTGGGGAAGGGGTGGGGCTGAGGGTGACGTCACAGCGTGGATGACGTCATAAAGGGGGGGGGAGGGGACACAAGCACACGAAGCCCCACCCACGCTTATGACGTCACACACACCCCCAATGACGTCACGCCAACGATGTCATCGCCCAATGGGAGATGCCCTCTGGTTATGACGTCACATTCCCCGCCCCCCCCCGCGTCGAGGTTGGCACTCGCCAATGGTGACGTCACCCCCGGTCGATGACATCATCGCCACCGATGGCTCCGCCCCCCCCATTGTCGACGTCATCGTCCCTATGGATGAGGTCACTCCGGGTGATGATGAGGTCACCCCGTGACGTCACAAACCCCTTTAACCCCTTCATTGATGAACCGGCCCCATTACGAGTGATGCCCCCCATTGATGACATCACCCAGTGATGACATCACCCATCGATGACATCATCTATTGACGCCATCCCCCATCGTTGACATCACCCACTGATAAGCTCCCCATTGACCCCATCCCCCATTGACAACATCCCCCATTGATGACATCACCCATTGATGACATCACCCACTGATGACATCACCCATTGATGACATCACCCACTGATGACATCACCCATTGATGACATCACCCATTGACCCCATCCCCCATTGACACCACCCCCCATCGATGACGTCACCCATTGACTCCATCCCCCATGACCTCATCCCCCATTGACAGCACCCCCATCAATGACATCCCCCATTGATGACATCCCCCATTGACGCCATGCATTGATGACATCATCCATTGACTCCACCCCCCATCGACGCCATCCCCCATTGATGACATCACCCGTTCACGCCATCCATTGATGACATCACCCATTGACTCCACCCCCCCATCGACCCCATCCCCCATCGATGCCATCCCCCATTGACCCCATCCCCATTGACGCCATCACCCATCGACGCCATCCATTGATGACATCACCCATTGACGCCATCCACTGATGACATCACCCATTGACCCCATCCCCCATTGACACCACCCCCCATCGATGACATCACCCATTGACTCCATCCCCCATGACCGCATCCCCCATTGACAGCACCCCCATCAATGACATCCCCATTGATGACATCCCCCCCGCCATCCATTGATGACATCACCCATTGACTCCACCCCCCGATGACATGACTCCACCCCCCATTGACGCCACCCATCGATGACATCACCCATTGACTTCACCCCCCATCGACTCCAACTCCCATCGACACCATCCCCCATTGATGACATCCCCCATTGACGCCATGCATTGATGACATCATCCATTGACTCCACCCCCCATCGACTCCACCCCCCATCAACGCCATCCCCCATTGATGACATCACCCATTCACGCCATCCATTGATGACATCACCCATTGACTCCACCCCCCATCGACGCCATCCCCCATTGACACCACCCATCGGCACCATCCCCCATTGACGCCATCCATCGATGACACCTCCCATTGACTCCACCCCCCATCGACTCCACCCCCCATCAACGCCATCCCCCATTGATGACATTCCCCATTGACGCCATCACCCATTGACACCATCCACTGATGACATCACCCATTGACTCCAGCCCCCATCGATGACATCCCCCATTGACCCCATCCCCCATTGATGACATCCCCCATTGACGCCATCACCCATTGACGCCATACATTGATGACATCACCCATTGACTCCACCCCCCATTGACTCCATCCCCCATTGACGCCATCCATCGATGACATCACCCATTGACTCCACCCCCATTGACTCCACCCCCCATCAATGACATCACCCATTGACGCCATCCATTGATGACATCACCCATTGACTCCACCCATCGATGACATCACCCATTGACACCATCACCCATCGATGACATCACCCATTGACGCCATCCCCCATTGACGCCATCACCCATTGACTCCATCCCCCATTGACTCCACCTCCCATTGACTCCACCCCCATCGATGACATCCATTGACGCCATCCATTGATGACATCACCCATTGACTCCACCCCCCATCGACATCCCCCATTGACGCCATCCATCGATGACATCATCCATTGACTCCACCCCCCATTGACTCCACCCCCCATTGACTCCACCCCCCATCGACTCCATCCCCCATTGACTCCACCCCCCATTGACTCCACCCCCCATTGACGCCATCACCCATCAATGACATCCCCCATTGGCGACATCATCCATCGATGACATCACCCATTGACTCCACCCCCCATTGACGCCATCCATCGATGACATCCCCCATTGACTCCACCCCCATTGACTCTACCCCCCATTGACGCCATCCCGCATTGACGCCATCACCCATCGACGCCATCCACTGATGACATCACCCATTGACTCCACCCCCCATTGACTCCACCCCCCATCGACTCCACCCCCATCGACTCCACCCCCATCGACTCCACCCCCCATCGACGCCACCCCCCATTGACGCCATCACCCATCGATGACATCCCCCATTGGCGACATCATCAATGACCCATTGACTCCACCCCCATTGACTCCACCCCCATCGACTCCAACCCCATCGACTCCACCCCCATCGACTCCCCCCCATCGACGCCACCCATCGATGACATCCCCCATTGACTCCACCCCCCATTGACTCCATCCCCCATTGACGCCATCCATTGATGACATCCCCCATTGACTCCACCCTCCATCGACGCCATCCCCATTGACTCCACCCCCATCGATGACATCCCCCATTGACTCCACCCCCCATCGACTCCACCCCCATTGATGCCATCCATCGATGACATCACCCATTGACTCCACCCATCGACTCCACCCCCATTGACTCCACCCATCGCCGCCATCCCCCATCGACACCACCCATCGCCTCCATCCCGCTCTCCTTTATTCCCCACCGCCCCCCCAGCCCCACACCGCCCCACATCGCCCCACAGCGCCCCACATCACAGCTCCCCCCTCGCGTGTAACATGTAATGCTCGTGCAACTCCGCCACCAACCCGAAGGCCCCCGCGCACTCCGTGCACCGCAACGGGGCCGCTTGTTGGCCTTGAGCCCCGCTTCTCCTCTGTGGGGCGCTATGGGGCTCGCTATGGGGCCCATCCAATGGGGTTGCGGGAGGGGAGCTCCGCCTCTTCCTCCTCCCGTGCTCGCATCTATGGGCCCCCAAAGCAGCCGGAGCCCCAAAACCCAACCCGCATTCGGCGCAGATGTAATGGAAAGGGGGAGGGGAGGAAGGGGCGGGGCCAACACGAGCCCCTCCCCCACCTCCCCCTCCCCCACCCCCAGCCCCTCCCCCACCTTGGGGTCGCTTCCGCCCCACGTGGTAGCTGCGATGCACTTTGAGGGCGCGGGAAGTGCCGAAGCCCCGCCCACATTCGGGGCATTCGTGCCATTCGGAGGCCACGCCCCCCGGCGGTGACGTCACGGACGTGGAGCGGCTCGGGCGGGAAGCGATGGCCACGCCCACCCCCGTGGCCCCGCCCCCTCCGGATCCGCTGGGGTCGTCGGAGGGGGCGGAGATGGGGGGTGGGGGGGGAGGGGCGGCGCGGGGGCCTGGGGGGAGGGGTTAAAAGGGGGAGGGGTTAAAAGGGGGGAGGGGTTAAAGGGGGGGAGGGGCTATAAGGGGGTGGGGGTTAAAGGGGGGGAGGGGAGGGGGATGGGGGAGGTTTTAAAAGGGGGTGGGAGGGGTTAAGGGGGAAAGGGAGGGGGTTGGGGGAGGGGAGGGGGTTGGGGGAGGGGTTAAAGGGGGGAGGGGTTAAAGGGGGGAAAGGGAGGGAGGTGGGGGAGGGGTTAAAGGGGGGAGGGGGTTAAAAGGGGGGAAGGGGAGGGGGTGGGGGGAGGGGTTGGGGGAGGGGTTAAAGTGTGGGAGAGGGTTAAAGGGGGAGGGGTTAAAGGGGGGGAGGGGTTAAAAGGGGGGGAGGGGAGAGGGGTGGGGGGGGTAAAACGGGGTAGGGGTTTAAAGGGGGAGTGGTCAAAGGGGGGCAGGGGTTAAAAGGGGGAGGGGTTAAAAGGGGGGGAAAGGGGTGGGGGGAGGGGTGAAAGGGGCTTAGAGGGGGGCCGGGCAGGGGTGGGGGGAGGG